ACGATAACAGCTGGTCAGCAGAACATACAACACTAGTGCCAAGCCTCTGACCGAGAATGCAAGATGGCGAATGCGGAGAGTGATAGAAGGGGTGAGTGTGTTTGTTGAATCTCATCTGTTTCTTTCATTTAGGTCAGGAGAAAATTATTTTCCTCATTTTGTTTATCACTGATATTCCAGCTATCTCTGAGAAGAGGACACAAGCGTTTGTCTCACTGAGTGTGGGAGTTATTTTCATCTGTATTGGACTTCCACTCTGGTGGAATACTACAAAAGTTTACAGAGCAGCGCTTCCATATGATGAAATTGAACAGCTTAATCAAATTAAGGTAAGCTGCATTAATAGAAAATCTAGCAATGCTGGAGGGTGAAAAGGAGGTGGGAAACTGGAGTTTTTAAAATCATTACAAGAAGGTGTAATTTTAACGAACGTATTAGTGGATTGTTTCAGAAAAATGTTAATAGTACTTCTAGTACTTGTCTAATACTTGACAAACATTTATGAAAACGCAATAATTTTATGTTTGGCCAGATTTCAGTCTGAATAACTGGAACAGCCGCTGATTTCGATTATATTTCAGGCCGATGATGAAGGATCTGAGATCTGAGAGTTCTCCGATCCGTTTACTTGCAGAATTCCACGGCTAAATTTCTATGGCCTGGGCTTCCTTATCCAGACATAAAGAGCACTCCCCTGTTACTTTACACCATTCTCTGCGACTACATTTCTTACTGAAAAGTTTGACATTTTTATACTTCTTTTAGGTTAGGTATGTAGTAAGCCTCAAAGTAGTTGTGTTTGGTCCACAAGACCCCGTTGCTTTGAAAGAAGAGATCGAGAAGAAGCTCAATGAAGAAAAAGGTATTGTTGATTAACACTCACATGACTGAATATGTTAAAAAAAAGTCATAGTGTGTAATAACGCTTGTGTTTAAATCAATTTTTTTGTTCTGTCCAGGTGATACTTTGATGTCAGCTGAGTACAGGCTGACAGTTGTAAGGAAAGAAATCACTGATTCTTCAATGTCAACAGAATTAAAAACCAAACCCATGCAAGGTAAGCCTTTCCTTGTTTTGTTGTTTAATTCAGCCATCTTATTTTTAAGACAACAAGAACGACTTTTCCTAACTACTGTACCTGCCTTGATTTCAGACAAGTTGAATGTCTCCATGTTTAACCCTTTTACCCCTGAGAGTGATTAGCATCTAATTTCTCCTTACAGTATCATCTCAGAATCACACATTAAGGTCATGAGAATAAAGAGAATGATCATCAAGTAAAGAAGCTTTTGATTGGTAAACAAATTCTCCTAATCAGCACCTTGAGAAATGTATAGAGAATAGTATGGAGAATATGCATACTGATGTTAGAGTGTAAAGGTTTAGGAGATTGATATAATTTTCTCTGAAAGACATATATCACTCATTTCAAGCTTATGTTAGCAAAAAGTGCAAATTCTCTAGAAATTAAACTAGAGAAAGAATTAATCAATCTCACAGGGCTCCTACCAATCAGACAATTTCATTACTCATTCACTCAATCAATCACAGATGCACAAGTAGTCAGTCTATAAGTGAGTAAAAAAACCATACATTGTTTTATACAACAATTTTCTGTACAGGGTTCTTATGCAAATAGTGTTTCTTGTCAACAGATTTGGATGACTATTTTCTACGACAAAACAGCTTGGAAAATGCACGAAGCCAACATTATTCCTTTTTTGTTCTACCTCATGAACCTCCAGAGTCAAACACTATCAGTGGATATATTGGCAAACATTTTCACTGCATTTTATTCAATGATAAAGGTAAGAGTACAAAAAAGAGAAATTGTCAGTTTTCACCAAAAAGACAAAAGAGATGTTACTTTTTTGAAGTTCATACTTGTAAAACTTAGATGAAATGAAAGACATAATGAAATGGTTGAATTTGAATGAGATTTAGATACATATATACTTAATCCTACTTGCAGTATGATAACAACATATTTTTTTGCATTTCTTTAGATCCAGCTAAGCTTGCTTCAGTTATTACTGAGATTGTTGGAAATGTTTTTGTTAACGAAGAAGAAGTAAACAGGCCATTTAGCTTGGCTTCAAAAAGGCAATTTGCAAAGGTATAGAAGATCAGTTTCTTGTGCATACTTGTGATTTGATAAGACTAGTATTTTTGAAGGATGCACAGAATAAAGCCCTTGTTACAGGTGGTATAACATAACCCTTTGACCCATAAGAGTGACTAGCCTCTAATTTCTTGGTACAATATCACTCCTCAATCAAATATAAGGTCACAAGAATAAAGGAAAAAATCACCAACTAATAAAGCACTTGATTTTTAAACAAATTTGATTATTTTCTTTTAAGGACTCTGTGGAAAGTATGCGAGCACAAAAGTCAACAACAGGTTGGAAGTTACTTTAATTTATACAGTAATAGCCCACTGTAATGAAAATATCTCTAATGGTTATAACTATTGTCTCTAAATTTATTCTAAAATAAGCTATTTCCAGTTTTTGCTCTTTAGTAAGTAGCATCACAAATTAAGGAAAGTTACCACTCCTATCAAACATAATTTTATTTGTTCAAAGTATCATAACTAATACAGCATCTGATAACAGGCCCTTGTTCATTGAAAGGTTTTCAGGTTTCCTTCACACTTTTGAACTCTGATCCAGACTCAGTCCTGGCTGAATGGGATATAGAGTCTGCTGTTCAAAGTGAGTAATATATAAAAAAGAAACCTTTTGTATATGCAATTTCTTTTTCTCTCTGTCTCTCTTGTTTGTTTTGTTTCTTGGAACTACAAGGGCACTCTCAATTAATTTCTCTCTTTTCTCTTTTATTATCCAGAGTATTTGGATCCCTTCCTGTTGAATTTTCCACATTTGGATATAACTGTAGATTCTCAGGTGGACAGAAACAGGGCCCAGTTGTTCAAAGGGTTATAACACTTTCCAATGGATAAATTGCTATCAGGCTGATAAGTGTTGAAAAAATGTTCTGGGGCTGGCTGTCCATTAGGAAGAGATCTATTCAGTGGTTAGTGTTATTCACCCTTTGAAGAATGGGGGCTAGTCCTTTCCAAAATAATTAATCATGGAATTTGTCTTTTGTCGTTTGAATTTTAGTTGTGGTCATTAGCATACACTAATTCAGTGAATGTTGCCATTTCAGGTTTTGCATTATAGTAGCCTTCAAATTAATCCTAAAAAGGATGGTGAAGTTTTCTATCTCCACTATGATGACTTACCTCATATGATAAATCCCATAGAAGGCAAACTTGGTATGAGTTACATTTGTTGACACATTTTTAAAGATTTATTGCCCATTTTAATTGCTCTAAGGCTGTGGACTGCTAAACAGAGGCTGGTTTTATATTTAGTGCAATTTGTAATTATTTTCATTGATATTTTTCATGTCATATTTGCAGGTTCACATATTTCTTTATATCCCAGTTTAAACTTTGTGGTGTATGTCCCATCTAAGAAGCATTCACCAATTTACATGAAAAATAAGGATGGTGAGACCACATACATATTAGTTCTTTGTTCTTTTAAATCATTTATTTCCAAGGAGTGATCAGCAAATAATTTCTCCTTATGATATCAATGCATTGTTGAGCAGTAAGGTGCTGGGAAGTGAGAAAAATGTCATATCAAGGTTGTTGTTTGATCCTACATCAAGTTCGCAGAGCTTGTGTCAAAAAATGTGTGTTGTAGACATCAGGGAGAATTCTATTGAAAACGTGGGTGTGAAAAGTTTCTCATAAAAGAATCTTATTAACTTAGATTTAAAGGTTTAGTTTGACTGTTATTTTCTTTTGTCATCTCAGGATGTTTTTTTTTTAGATGAATCTAGTTAGCCAGGAGCTTTGCCTGAAAAACTTCTAGATTGTTAATGAAAACAAAAATGTGTTTCAGTAGGACTCAACAACTGCTTGTTGCCTGCTACTTGTTGAAATCACAGGTGGCTCAAGCATATTGAGCAAGTTGGAGGGATTTCTAGAATTAGCACACGATAGTTTCGTATTGATAAACCTAGGTCGTCACATAGGCAGTCTTCTTAGGAATCATCTCCTAGATTCCTGGATGGTAAGAATTTTTTCAACACTTTTTCTGCAGGCGAGCTGAGCAGTAGCAATGCATTCATGAGTCCACAGTGGGGTGGCATCATGATTTACAATCTGCCACGGACTACGTCGACGAATAACACCAAACCACAACAGATGACTGTGGAGATGAAGCCAGTCATGAAAGTCTTCCTATCACAACTTAAATTGTTACTGGGAATGATGCCTGTGGTAAGAAGTAGTGGAACTTTTAACTGAGGTGTTTTAGAGTACGAATCTGGGAATGCTTCCAATATGATTGTGAACGAGTAATTTACCCATGTGGTACGGCTGCAGAACGTTTCGTAGAACAAAGAGATACGACTGCGGTCCTATTAAGGAAGTTGGAAGTCTTACGGTACTGTCTTAAAATAGACGCAGGTGTCTGAAGTCGGGCGGTACTGTTCGAAAACGGACGCAAGTTTCTGAAATCAGACAGGACTATCCGAAAATTGACGCAAGTTTCTGAAGTCGGACAGTATTGTCCAAAAACGGACGCAGTTTTCGAAGTCGGGCGGTACCGTCCGAACATAAACGCAAATTTCCAAAACCGGATAGTACCGTCCGAGAATGAACACAGGTTTCCGAAATCGGACGGTACCGTCTGATACGCACCCATGTGGTTATAATTCAGAGACACTGCAGACAAGTTAGCACCTGAGGTTTACGATACGGTTAGATCTTTTTCCGGCAGCATGATTGCTGTATGATCACCGACACTTAAATAAGGCTTTTCTTACTATTATGATGTTCTCTCGATTCTTCTCTTTGTTTAGAATCCTCCAAATGGTATCGAAATGAGAATCGCTGATGATGCTGGGGTCGCAAAATGGGTAAAGTTGTTGCCTATTTTGTTCTTTTGTTTCCTCTTTTACTCGAAAATTACATGGAGACACTTTTGGAGTGTTTGAGAATGTGAAGTTTCTTTATTAGGGTGCTAACTTTAATTCTGAAGAACACCTATTTTTGCTTCAAGTCCTGTTGGCATAGGTTTTCAGTTTAGCTGTTACCTTATATAGAAACGGGAGAAGCGCGTGCAGTGCGTGGGCGCGCAAGGACATGGAGATAGGCCACGCTCCGTTTTCGCTTCTCCCTCTTGAGTGGAAGGAACCAAGAAGGCCTGCAACACAGGCCAGGTCTAAAAATTGTTTGGGTTGTAAAGGAGTACTTAAGACTTTTGAGAACATGTCTATCATTTACTCTGATAGCCTCATTAGCAGACCTAAGGTAAACCATTTTCGTTAATTACAGGAACAAGAGTCGCTGATGAGGCTGAAGACAATGGAATATTTAGCAACTTCTACGATCACGTTGACGTCACTCGCACAGCTCCTCGGGAAAATCAGCAACATGGTGATCAATGATCACATTCAGCAACAAATCGAGCAGGCCCTGGGTTCCATTCATCAGGTATCGCAATCTACTTGAATGAGAGAACTTGAACTTTGACAACTTTTTTAAAATTTATAGATTATGTCGACCTAGATAAAAAAAAGGTTCTAGAGCAGAGAAAGAATCTGATTTGCTAAGTCCTGGACTGAATTGGAATTGACCCAGTTCCGTACGTTTTTCAGTCTACAACAGCTCTTCAAGAGGGAAACGGGACTGCAGCAGTCTTTGCAGCCAAAAGTGCTATTAGATCTTCAGGTTAGTACATTTTCCGAAACGTCCTTAGTTTCTTTTCTCTTAAATCGTTCGTGGAAAGTTCCACGAGATATCCTTTGCTGTTCATTTTATTTCCCTGTAATCAATATATTTCGTTGTTCCTGATCGTTACATCATGCTTTCTTTTTCAGAGGAAGCATTTTTTGAACCATCAATACTGGAGCTGTTGTACTTTCCAGACGATCAGAAGTAAGCCTGACCTTTCAACAATTTGTCACTAGTATGTTATGTTAGGGAGATCGCCTTGTGCGGTATGGGAATCTATTACTGCTTCGGTAACATTCTAGACGTATTTTCACAGTTGTTCAATTTTCCTTACGATTTCGATAGACTCAGTCAGAGATTTGATGTCGGAGAATGAAAAGAAAAGAAATGAAGAAAAAATTGTCAGGACTAATCAACAGAGGACATCACATTTAACTTTGAAAATCATATTTTAGGCCTGGGGAGAGGGGTTTTGATGGAGCACGGTGATTAAAGAATGGAGGGGGGGCTGCTTTTTCATTGAGCTGTATTCTATAAATAGTCTGTTTTGTAATTTTCCCTCAGGTACGCCATATATATTCCGCTGTTTCTACCCATCAGTCTACCTATTTTCCTGTCGTTGAGGCAGGCAGTGAAATGGTACAGAGGACAAGACAATGAAGACAAGAAAGACGAAGACAAGGATAAGCAAGATTGAAAACAGCTCTGAACTAAAAGAATAACGAAGATGACGGGCTGGGACGAGATAACGTGGAGTCGTGTCAACTGAGTACATGCGCAGTCTCATTTAATGAGAGGGAGCTACAGGAAACCATTTCACAACGACATAATTTTGACAATCAAATAATTCAGAGATACGAGTTATCAGTGAGGACTTTAGGGAAAAACATGCTGGTTAGAATATGTCACCACATGTATCTGTAATGCAAGCGAGGAAACGTGCAACAAAACACCGTGCAAAGCTCCAAGCGTACACTGGAGTTAACTCGCTTGGAACTGCGACAAAATGGCAAACTATCGACGACGAGAGAAACTCCCTCCTTAAAAATTTTCAGAGCGGTAGCTCTTACCAGAATATACCATGTGCAAATCCAGCAAAATGAAACACACTTTGTTACTTTTGTAACAACGAATTCCATATTAGCAATATGCCGTTAATTAACTAAATATCAATTTAAGTAGCAGGTTTAAATTAGAATTCTATCTTTTTATTGCGAATGAGTATTTTGGTTGTGTAAGATAAATTTTTACTCCAGCGTTGGTCACGTTCATCCTAAAATAAAGTAGAGGTACTTGTTCAAAACAAAGTCTTTGTACTTTGTAAAATATTGCTTTGTTAAATGTTATATTCTAAATTTGTCCGCTCTATATGATAGAATCGTAGGTTGTGAAAGGATCTACATCGAGAATATACTGAATAAAATAGCTAAGCATACAATTTTTTACGAAAGGAATAAAAAACGCGCCGAATGCATTGTTGAGTTATATAAGCACTTGGGAATTTTTTAAGAACACTCGAGACGTGCTGGAAGCATGAGCCGAAGGCGAGTGCTTCTTCGCACTTCTCTCCTGTTCTTAAAAATTCCCGCGTGCTTATGTAACTCAACAATGCTCGAGAAACAAGTTTTTTTTTCCTTTCATAAAATGTATCGTGAATTGCGCGCGCTCGTACGATTATGGAAATATAATGAACTCGTTCTGACCAATCACAGCGCGCGCATTTCTCTTAACATTTTATAATCCCAAATAGAAAATACGATTACAGCTATCACCTGTCCGTAGTAGTATGTACATAGAAGGTCGCATGATTTTACAAGTAATTTAAAAAAACCAAATCACTAAGAGAGGAGTGCATTATTTTTTTTATGTAGCTAAAAGTTATTGTTTTTAAAATCGTCGAGTGATATTTGCTAGTCAACTTCAACTTTTGTCTCTGACATTGCGCGGACGTCTTCGTGTCTTTAAAGACCAGCCCTGTATTAAAGAAAGTATAGAGTCAATTGTTTCTTGAGAGAAAAAGAGCGCTGATTACTTGCACACCAAGCTCCCTTACCTAAATAGTTAGGTTTGTCATGAGGGAGAGGTGGGTAATGGTTCGTTTGACCGTTTAGCCGCTGCATTTATCAATATTTGACCGATTACTAGGCTTTAACTTGCTTTTCTGCACTTCAGCTTTGTTCGTGACCTATGGGTATAGTTTCGCAGGCTAGTAAAGGTAAAAAGTTACCTAAAACAAACCCCATCTTTATTTCTTCCTTTCTCGGTGATGGCATTTAACCGACGCTTTTAAAGCTCCTGTATAACTGTTATGGGATACGCACCAAATGGGGTAATGGACAGCGAGGTACACCTACAAGCGGCAGCTCTGGCTGTAGGCTTTGGTCGAGTCGTCTACTGTACTCCTAGGCAGGGTTAGGGCTTTCTCCACTTAGTGGTAATAATCTCAGCAACTTGACTTGCGAGAAACCTATTACCATAATACCTTGAGCAATTTTGCCTGAAGTTCACTGACCTGATCTCTGATGCAGAACGCATTTTCCCCTCAAACATTTCGTCGGCTGCCTTTGCGGCGGCATTCCCAGGTCCCATGGTTGCTACAGCAAGAATTTTATCCCCTCTGGAAGTGAATTAGAGAACAAAGGAAATGAAAGGCAATGACTAGTGGTACAACAAGGATTAAAAAAAAATAATAAATATAATAATAATAATCAAGATAAAAAAGGAGGAAACCTTATATGAAGCCTTCCCACGCTTTAACAAACGTCACGTGTACTCTTTTTTGAGTTTTTACTTCCTGAAGTAATTTGGTTTTTATGTTTGCTCAACTCACTTGGCAAAGTAGGCGGTGAATTTTTTTGTTCATCAACGCTACCGTCAATAAGCACGTCATCAAATGAATGGGCGTGACCTGGGGACAAATTTAACAGCAAAGAGGTAACAAAGGTTATCACTGATCGACCCGTGAGATTGCTCGGTTTCCCTCGGCTTAGTCCTGTTATTTTGGTTTACAACACGCCTGGGGGAGAGGGTAGAGGGGAGAGGGGAGAGGGGAGAGTCGGAGGATTTGAGGGATCACGTGGTTTTCAGGGGAAACGGAGTGGGGATCGGCCTAATCCTGTTATTTTGGTTTACAGCACGCTTTACAATTAAGAACCAGTTATTCATTATCGCCTGGGGAGAGGGGAGGGTCAGAGGATTTTGAAGGATCGCATGGGTTTCAAGGGAAATGGAGAGGGGATCAGCCGTCACCGACAGAGGATAAAGGGAGACTTGAGGAAATTGACCTCTGATTAAATGCCAATGAAGTGGATCATAAGATTATTAGAGAGCCTTAAGGGGGATCAGGTTAATTTTATCTTGACATAAACAAAATCCTCCGATCCCCTTTCCCCAGGTTAGAACTTCAGGCTAAGTTTGCAAGGATTTACTCGGAGGAAATTAATTCTAATTCTGCATGTCTGTTACGATAGAAATCGGACGGTAGGAAGCAGCTAGACTCAGCTACTCGGAGACACCTACCACAGTATCTGATGCTTTTACCATACTGAGAAGTCCAGAAGAATGGTATTGTGTCGATCTCTTCGTTTCCTCCAAGCATATTACGCGCAGCAGTCAGTCCTACAATATGAAAGTACAATGGATTGAGCACGACAATTTCCAGGACTTCAAAAACTAACCTAAAGCAGAACTACCTGGTCCCCTGTGGGGAGAGTTAGACAACAGGTTTGCCCTCCAGATCTTCTAGGTATTCCTCTACTCATGCCAATCTTCTTTTTTCAGGGACCCTCGACTGGGTTTCGTAAAGAATCTCAATTTTCATAGAAACACTTCATTACAACAAAAATAAGATAAGACTACATTTTGATCGGGATCGTTTTGCCTCGAAGCGAGAGGAATGTTTATTGGACCATTTCAACGATATCATCCATAAAAACATACCATGCTTGTGCGAAATCTGCCAATGACCAATAGTCACCCTTTCCCAATCTAACATCTTCAGAGGGAAGTGAGCGATATCTCCAGCGGCAAAAACTCCTTCACAAGCCTTCATGTACTGCAACATGAAGAGACGATAGGTTGATAAAATAGAAGCAGGCCATACTAATTTGGCCATAACCGTATTTATACAACAAGAGAGCCTAAAGCAAGCGCGAGAAAAAGAGTGGGGCACGAGGGCAGGAGAAAAAAAAAAGACCATACATGATGAGCGTGAATTGCCACTGAGCACGTTTGTCACAGTTTTAGCCACTAAACAATGCACCATCTCGTGCATTTTCCAGATCAGTTCATTGATATTTCAACTACACGTCAAAAACTGTTGCTGACGAACGTGGGCGTCCGAAATCAGACGGTACCGTCCAAAAATGGATACAGGTGTCCGACATCCGACAATAGTGAAAGAAATCAAAGACTGGTGTTGGATACTAGTCGTCTTAAATGGCTTGAGAAGTCAACACGATAACTTGGTTAATCCAAGAAAAGATGGTCATCGCCGAAATGGCCTGAATGGGAGTCACCTCAAGGCTAACTTTAAAAACTGCATATCGCAAAAGTATTCTAACCTTATCAACAATTACATCTCCGCGGCTGGTCTGAGGCACGCTACTGTTTTTTAAGAAGTCTGTGGATGGTGATACACCTAGGAAAGACAGTAAATAGTGGTTTGCGTAGACTCCAGAATGAGAGAAATGTTTTGTTCTTAGGCATCACACTTTCCTTTGCAGAGGACTCTGAAACAGTTTGTGAGCTCATGGTACATCCTGGGTATAAGAGCACTTTAGGATGTGGTGGTTGTGGTGAGGGACCAGATTTGTTTGCATGTTCTGATGATAGGGAGCATGAATTGAACACACTCAAGAGCCCTACCCTTAAAGAGTACCTAAAATCTAAAAATGTTAGAGTTTGTTCTTTTCAAGAACTGAACATGGGCAGTGATACAAGTGTCTTAACCCTTTAACTCCCATGAGTGACCAAGACTGAATTTCTCCTTACAATTTTGAAACAACATTAAAGCAGACTAGTGATGAGAATAAAGAAAAATATCAATTAGGTAATTATCAGTTGATCCAATACCAAATTCTCTAAACAACATTGAGAATTGTATGGCAGATAGTAAGGAGAATTGCTATTGAGATCTTGGGAGTGAAAGGGTTAACTTTCTCTTAAAAGACCTGGAACACCTTAAATCTGATTTTATTTCTTTTTAACTTCCTTCATTTTAATAAAGTTGCAAAAATGTGATGATAATGGAATGGAATCAATTATTAAATGTTTTCCATCTATGATCAGAGGATTTTCCAGTATTTATAGAACCATTTAACAAAGACAGTGATTTGTTTCTATGCATCTTTATTTTCCCTCATTCTATTCTAAATATAGCAAGGTTAGAGATTTCTATAATCAACAATATATAAAGACTACTGGTATTTGCTAAACCATAGTGTATTAGACTAGGGAAAAGGTAACCAAGAGTGAATTATTTTAGCAATGTTTTGGTAAACTTTACCTCTTTCCTTGATTGCTTGTTTTGTTTTGTTTTTTTATTTCTGACAAATCTCATCTCTCACTTGTTGTCATATCATTCCTTCACTTATCTCAATTTCAAGTGAAACCTGCACTATGAATAACTGAGATCTGCTAAATTGCACGATTTGGTTTGTTTTCCTCCAAAAAAAGACTTTGGAGTTTATTTGACATGTTTGAAGTACTTGTGATTGAATGATAAAAACTGGACACCAAATGAGTATATCAGTGATCAATGATTTAGGAAAAACAGCTATTGCTCTGTAACCTGCTCCATTAACTTATTAGAAAAAAACTAGCTTGGGTTTGGCTAAATGGCCACCAACTGAAATGAGTCTAAAGTGTGGCACAATGACCCTAAAGTATTGTTGACAAAATAGTCTTCATGTGACAAACAACACCAGTAATAGCAAATTTGCAAATGTCTAAATCCCAAATGGCTCACCTCAATTTACAAATAAACAATTGCATTAACCTCCTCATGAAAGGCAGTAACTGGTGGGAAGGGCAAGTTACATTTCCAAATTAAGTTATGGTCATGTCTTTCTACTTAAAATTATAATAAGTTACTCATAAAAACTTGCAAAATAAATAATTGTAAAATAGTCCTATTTATATTGAGGAATTTTATGATAAGAATTGATGTTTTGTTTCCAATTTCAGTGAAGCTGAAGGTAAATTTTTACATCCAACACAAAGTCATTCCTTGTTTTTACAAGAACACAAGTTAATATCAGATGGGGTGCCAAAGTAGCACAAAACAGTATTCAAATACACTTAACCCTTTAAGCTCTAAGAGTGACAAGCATTTAAATTCTCCTTACAAGATCACCCTTGAATCAAACATTAAGGTCACAAGAATAAGGGAAATAATCACCAACTATTACAAAGCTCTTGATTGTTAAACAAATTCTCCTTATCAGCTCCTTAAGATTTGTGCAGAGAAGAATATTGAGAATATACATACTGATGCCAGGGTGTAAAGGGTAAAATATGTCTACACTCATAAACCATAACCAAATCAAATTAAACTAAGTGAAATTTAAAGTTCCTGCAGTTGCTAAAAAGATCAAAGATTAATTCTAATGTCAAGAGAGGCTTAAAGTTTGGCCATTGCATATGCTGATTTTTGAGTAAATTGTTCTTCTTCCGTGGAGCCTTTGAGAGCTGTTGTTGAGCTGGTTCCTCCACTGATTGCCATGGAAACTTGATCAAAATACCCTGTTCCAACTTCTCTCTGATGTTTGTGAGCAGTGAAACCATTCTTGGCCTGTGCAAACTCGTCTTCTTGAATCTTGGTGTAGGCAGACATGCCATTGTCTCTGTAGTCTCGTGCAAGCTTGAACATGGCATGATTGAGAGAGTGAAAGCCAGCTAAGGTTACAAACTGAAAGCGGTATCCCATTTTACCCAATTCCCTTTGGAAGACAGCAATTTCTGCATCACTGAGGTTGGCCCTCCAGTTGAATGAAGGTGAACAGTTATACGCCAGAATTTTTCCAGGATAGCGTGCATGAATGGCTTCAGCAAATCTTCTTGCTTCTTGAAGGTTTGGCTTTCCAGTTTCACACCACAGGACATCACAGTATGGTGCATAAGCTAAGCCCCTTGCAATGGCTTGGTCTAAGCCTGTCTTGGCACGGAAGAATCCTTCTGGTGTTCGTTCTCCAGTCAGGAAAGGCCTGTCATATGGGTCAATATCTGAGGTGACAAGAGCAGCAGAGTTGGCATCAGTCCTACCAACAATCACAATAGGGACATCCAGAACATCAGCAGCCAATCGTGCAGCATTGAGGACCTTCACAAATTGTTGTGTGGGTACTAACACTTTTCCTCCCATGTGACCACATTTCTTTTCCGAAGCCAACTGGTCTTCAAAATGAACAGCAGCTGCACCTGCTGCAATCTAGTCAGGAAAGAAGCCATTAAACATCAGCATTAACACCAAAATTCTACTTAAGCCCTTCACTCCCAAGATCTTAGCAGCAATTCTCTGTACTATTTATCATACATTTCCTATGACATTAGTTCTGAGAATTTGATATTGAATCAACTCACAAGTACCTGGAGAAGAGCTTAAAGTGACCTCTGATGAATTGCTATATTCCCTTTCCAAATTTTCCTACATTCCCTTCAGAAACAGAGGGAGAAGTAAATGTTGAAATAGCAACAGCAAGTCTCTCAGGGCTTTATTTTGGAAAACTGTTTCTTGCTTTTTTCTCCTGATGTATTTTGGTTTTTCATCAGTTTGAAAAAAAGTTTCCTTAACTACCACTGACCTTTTCAACAATGTGTTATCCATTTAGTACCTGGGGCCCTTGTGAAACCCTTGAGGTCATTTTTCGAAACAAAATTAACCTTTGCTTTATCAAAACAGCAATCTAATCCATCTCCAATTTAGCCTACATTTTATCCCAACATTAATATTTTCATGTCAAAATAGTTGACACAGAGAAAAATTATTTATATACTCATGATCTCCAAATTATCTTAGACTGTGGTGTGTCACATAAACAATAGCTCCAAGGTTAGCCTTCTTCTGACCTCTAACTTGTAAAAATTTGTTGTTTTACTTAACAACAGAGGCCTTGAGTGGGCAGTGTGTTGAAACAGAAAGGAAAAATTGGAAATAACAATGGATAAAAACTATCTACAAGTTCTTAACATGCAAATCAGAAAATTACCATGGACTTGGTGAGTTCAAATGCATTCAATGGGCCTCCAAATCCAGCTTCACAATCCGCAACGATTGGCAAAAAGTAGTCAATGTGTTTGTCTGTGCCTTCCATGTGCGCAATCTGGTCTGCCCTGATAAACGCATTATTAATACGCTCTACCAGTTTTGGAGCAGAGTTTGCAGGATACAGGCTTTGATCGGGATAAGTCTGCCCAGCTAAATTGTTATCACCGGCAACTTGCCATCCACTTAGATAGATGGCTTTTAAACCGGCCTTGGCCATCTGAACGGCCTGTCCACCTGAAATCACCAACAGATTTAAAATAAATACATGATAAGAAAGTACTATTCAAGAAAAAACAATAGAATGCTAACATATTCTCCGTTTGTCTCATTTATATTTTTTGGTCTCGATTTAAAAATAAAAACGCTGGTGAAATGTTTTTCTTGAGGGATATCCGAATGTCAGTAAATTTTGCGTTAGAAAATTTTCCGGGTACATCAATTGACGTCGATGCCTCGATGCGACGTAAAAACCGGGTTGTACTGCGTCATTCGCCTCCCAGGAAGACGATCTTTGTACGCTACATTAGGAATATTGTTTCGCGGTTTAAGTGTTACGTTTGTTCTTGACTTTTAATCGGAAATCAAATGGAAAAATTGTTAAGTCACAGTTTTCAATCGCTCATTCATGTCCGAGTCCAAAGTTCGCCACATTTCCACGTCATTAAAATTTCTTGGGTTGACGTGGCCAAGAATAAGTCAGATCCGAATTTTTTTTGCGTCTCTTTTAACTAATATGACAAAAAGAAACTTTTAGGAGTGTAGATTCATATAGAAACGATTGGCAGCCAAGTGTCAGGCAAATTGCCCGCCACGTATTATATTCACCATATTTGTAAAATCCTTATCTACCATATTTGGGAAAAGAGTGTCTTGCACGTGGAGACAAAGTCTAACATTAAAATAGTGGCTGAAAATGTTCTGTTTCACAAACAACTTCGTACAGAACGGTTACTTACCCGTGAGAGCTCCTAAAGCATTCACGTAAGAATTCCCTCCGCGAGTCAAAAGTTCCCAGAGTTTTATGGCTCCTCGCTTCGACAAAGAGTAATCGATTTTGAACGAACCTCGAAGCTTTTCTACAGTCTCTGGGCTGTAGTTTCTCTTGATGCCTTGAAATCGCTGATGTTTGGAAAACATTGTGAGCAGGACGACTGAAACTTAAATCTGGGCTCTGATCAACTGATCAACTGATCTTTACTTCGAGAGATGCTTCTCCGTAAATTTACTTAGTGAGAATCTTTGCCAATTTTTCAAACGTTTTGTAGCAAAATTACACGTGAACTTTGATCGCTTACGGACGTCATCATTGGTAAAAATTTTCTATTGTCTCACTGGGGGATTTGATTGGTGGAGGCATAATCAAAGACAGCTCACGCGAGGATTAAAAAGTCATGGGCCTGAACAAAATCACTGTATGTAAATTGCTCAAGTATTTTCATACCTACTTTTCACACTTTTACTTCTGTATTTAGGTCAGAGTTTCCTTTTTCAAGTTGTGCGACAATTCTACATCGAAAAAGACAAAGATTCGCTGCCATAATCGAAGTTAATTTCGTGATTTTGTTTATCGTGAGTCTGACGCAATGTTATCAAGGATTGCAATTCTTGTGTTGCTAAGGACTATAAATACGAAACAACTGGCAAATCAATAGAAATAAACACGAATATTACATGTAGTACCAGTATAGAGTATTTTTACAGGCTTAAATGAAGAAGACAATGACATACCAGATGAAAATACTATTTGTTATTTACCTCCTGATGTTCTAGGAAAACCCACGCCACACCTCCTAGTGTCCTTTGTCCCCGCCCCCAGTCACTCCACGTTGGACTTTGAACTGCGTGCAGAAACGAGGCTAAGCGATCAGATCAGATCAGACCAAACGATCAGACACTATTCACCTAAAGTCTATTAGCGTGCTGTCCGGCCAAAAACTGGGTTTGAACGCGAGTTTTCTCCTTATCCGATCTTTTAATCCATCTGTAAGTATGAAAGACAGTTCAAATTTTTGCACAGTTTGAGGCATCTTAAACTTCTCTTCTATCACTTTGTTCCACGGGTCACAAACTATCACGTGTCATCTACTTCGTCTGTGTAATTTTACTTGCGTTTCATTCAGGTAAAATAGAACCTCAAACTTCTAACAAATTAATCAACTTATACACTTCTCCAGAGTAAAATGAGAAATTTAAGGAAGTTCTTATTATATTTACTTGAATAAACTTAACTTCAGGTCACTGAACGTCACGAAACGTAATAACGTACCCCCCTGATTGTAAACTACTTTTTTCTTTAATTGTTACTTTGGACCCATTGATTGCAAGGCAAGGTCGATCAGAGACAAATTCTGTCAGTCTCCTTCTCTCTTTCAGGCTGTAATCGTGAGTAGGCTATTTCAGCGAGATCATTCGGAAGATTTGTATGGGATATTGGTTGCCCAACCTCCTTACCCATTTAAAATATATTCAGACGTGACTCAAACATTTTGATTTATATTGCATCTGTCTTGTTTCTAATAAACAGATTTTGTTAAACAATAACAAAAATATTAAATAGCCCCCACAGCTGTGATCTTTGTCTCTTAAAACTGTTTAAACAACACTAATCCAGTTCTCAGGGATGTCATGGGGTGGGGATATTCATTTTCTTGCTGAGGGTTGCAAATCATGGAAAATCACAGGTTTTCTGAGGTAGAAATTCTCCTTCTTGAACAGGAAAATAAACAGAGGATGGCTTACTTGTTGGAAAGTTTCCTGTGAGGAAGGTTATGCTTAGCATCTTGTTCTAAAGACTGATTGATGTTGTTTTTTCGTTATAGGTTCCTGAAAACAAAGCCATGTGGTGTCCAAAGGGTGAGTTTATCTTGTCATATAAAGTACAGGAGGATATTGAAATATTTACTGATTGGATCTTGGGAGTTTGAGGGATAGGTGCTTGTTTTATTGTTGTTTGTCTGTTTAACCCATTAACTCCCAAGATCTCCTCAGTAATTCTTCTTACTGTCTGCCATTCAGTTCTTGTGAGGTTAGTTTGGAGAATTTGGTATTGGATCAACTTATAATCCCTAATTGATATTTTTCTTTATTCTCATCACTTGTCTGCTTGATATTGTACTGATACTGTAAGGAGAAATTCTGTCTTGGTCACTTATGGGAGTAAAAGGGTTAAGGGAAAAGGAAATAGAAGTTAAAAATAGTAACTTTGTTTATGACTTGATTTTGATAAAGAAATTTATGCAAATCAACATATACATTTTGTTGGCATTATATTTGCATTGGGTTAACCAAGGCAAACAACAAAATTTTATAAGAGGACTTTTCATATGTTTATCCGAGGATAAGAGCAAAAAGTTTACTTAATTCTGCCTTTGAAATCATTTAATCTCTTTTTACTCTCCCTAACTAGGTATTGAAATAACTGGTGAAATCAAGCCAGAATACAATGAAATTCTATCACACGAAGCCCTGGAGTTTCTTGCTGATTTGCATCGCAGTTTTAACTACCAGAGGAAAAAGCTGCTTAGAAAACGACAGGAAATCCAAGCAGAAATAAACAGTGGGAAGCAAATTAAATATCCTGAAGCTCACCATGAGAAGGATTGGAAAGTGGCACCTGTCCCACATGATTTGCAGATGCGACATGTGGAGATCACAGGACCGACAGACTGTAAGATGGTAATTAATGCCCTGAACAGTGGGGCAGACATGTACATGGCTGATTTTGAAGACTCACTGACTCCCTCCTGGAAAAATATTGTTGAAGGACAAATAAACCTCTTAAATGCAAACAGGGGGACCATTAATTTCATCAATGCAGATGGTAGGTTTGACTGCATATTTACTTAACCCCCTAGAGTGACGGGCCTCCTATTCTTCCTTATAGTATTAACCTTAAATCAAAAGGTCATGAAAAAAGTGGAAATGATCACCATTTTTCACAGCACTTGGCCAATAGAAAGGCCTACAACAATGCACTTAAATCATTTCTACAATCATTATTGCTGCCTCAATTAACAGATGCTTTTATTTCTATTATCAAACTGTTAGGATCAGAGCGACGTTTGAAGGACAAGACAGCCTGCTTGTTGGTTCGTACCCGTGGCTTGCACCTAGATGAGAAACACATCCTTTGTGATGGAGAACCCATGAGTGGTGCACTGGTAGATTTTGGACTTTACTTTTTTCACAATGTCCACATAAGGCTTGCCAATGGCTCTGCTCCATACTATTATCTTCCTAAAATGGAGACTCATTTGGAAACAAGGCTTTGGAATGATGTGTTTAAATCTGCTCAGGATTACATGAAAGTTCCTCAAGGTTAGACCTGGAAGCTAACTCTCCTAATTGTAGACAACACTTTTCTTTGTTGAATTGTGCGGAGAGTTTGGTTATGATCAGCAAGACAGAGAAATACCAATCAAGAATTAATCAGCCAAGGAGGATCAAAGGTCTTGAAAGATAGGGAAGATTATTTACAAATTGCTACTAATGTAATGGGGAAAATTTTTTCAAAGATTTTAGTAATGTACAAACTGCAATGTAACTGCTGTCATTTTTCAGTGATAGAGTTTGTGTCACAGACAACTAACTGAATCTGTGATATTCTTTCCTGTTCACCAGGAACCATACGAGCAACTGTTATGTTAGAGACTCTGCTAGCAGGAGTGAACATGGAAGAAATGCTTTATGAGATAAGAGAGCACTGCTGTGCCATGAATGCTGGAAGGTGGGACTACATTTTTTCAGCAATTAAAAGATTCTCCAGAAAACCTGATTGTGTACTACCAGATCGTAAGCAGGTAAAACATACAAAAAATCAAACTTGCATTGTATACAGTAGATATGACAGAATATATGTTTTGCAAGGGTTTTTATTTTTTAAGAAAACAGTAAATAAGTGTTACTTCAATTGATTATGTAGACATGCTCAGTTGGGAGTAGATTTCAGGTCACGATGATTTTATTCTAGATTGATTTGCATTCTTCCCTGTTTGAGTTACATCTATCAGAATTAGTCATTATTTTAAACTATGATATTTACATCTTGTTAAGCTTTCTGTTAGTGTTGATGTCCTCGTGGTCGAACACCCCCACGCCCCACCCCCAAAAAAGTCAATTATACCTGCATCTTTCTTGCAACAAGTATTAGAGGTTCACCAGAATTGCAATTTAGATAATTTCTTTAAGAGTATTGCACAAAGTTCTTACAAGAGGTAATTAGCCCTTTCATTCAAGATCTCATCATTACTTCTCCTTGCTGTCTGTGGTACAATTCTTATGATGTTAGTTCAGACATTGGTATTGGATCAACTGATAATCCCCAAGTGATATTTTTCTTTATTCTCATCACTTGTCTGGTTAATGTTGCATTGATATTGTAAGGAGATATTTTTTCTTGGTCATTCAGGAGAGTTGAAGGGTAAATAGCTTGACATGATAATGTAAGTCTAGCAAGTAGATACACAATTGTTTTTGATTTGCAGATATCAATGACAGTACCATTCATGCGAGCATACACAGAACGTCTTGTTCAGGTGTGCCATCAGCGTGGAGCTCATGCCATGGGTGGAATGGCAGCTTTTATTCCAAGTAGAAGAGATGAAAATGTCAATAAGATGGCATTTGAAAAGGTCCGTCAGGATAAGGAACGGGAAGTGGCTGATGGATTTGATGGCACCTGGGTTGCACATCCTGACCTTGTGCCTTTTGCAAAGGGGATCTTTATGAAGGTGGGAATTGATTTGGAGTTTTGTTTTATAGCTGGAAAATTTGAAATCTCCTAAGTTTAAGTGAGAACTATTTATTTACCTGCAAGCTTTCTGTATGAGGGAACTGGTCATCGAGATGGTTCAATCACACCAGAGCATATTGATTCAAAAGGTGACACTTGACCCATTAACCTCATTGCTTAAAGAGGACTATCATTATGCACTTGAAACATCATCATCCACATCGGAACCAAAAACATCATCAGACAAACAATACATAGGACTTAATTAGTGAAGCTTTTTGTGAGCTAGTCGACAAGATTATTTCCCAGAGATGTATCAAGTCTTAAAAGTTGGCAAAAGAGTAGTGATCATCTAAAAAACTTTGAGCTCTGCTCAGGCTGTAAAAAGTGTTCACAATATTTTCTTTTGGATTTCCTTTCAAAAATATAATCTCCAGCGTTAAATGCTTCCATGCCTAGGTAGTTTGTCCATTCTTTGACACTCAACTTTATAGCACATTTTTTTTTTGTTTGTTTGTAGGGCTTGCATGGTGCCTCCCATCAAAAACATCGCCTTCGAGAGGAAGTAAATGTCAAGGTTGAAGAGATCTTGTCAGTTTCCGTGCCAGGAGGAAAGATCACTGAGGAAGGAGTGCGAGTTAATATCGGTGTTGCTCTTCAGTATCTGAGCAGCTGGCTGTCGGTAATGTTTGTTGTTTCTCTTTTTTGGATTCTTTGACAGTCTCATATCCTTTATATACTTCTTTTTCTTCAAAACCCATTCAGCTAACTGTACATAAGCACAAATTTACTAGTATCTTTATTGATCTATAATTTTCACTTTTCGCATTTAAAAAGTACAATTTGAACAACTCTTGAGATGAATCAGCACTGACATAAAAGAAACCTTAACCCTTTTAACCCCTTAAAGTGACTGTCATCTAATTTCTCCTAACAATATCACTCCTGATTCAAACATAAAGGTCACAAGAATATGTATTCTAAACAATCACCTTTTATGTAGGACTGTTATACTTGTTCAAATTTAGTGCTATCCAGAAAGTCTTGTTGTTAGTAGGGCTCATTTCTATCTTTCCTTTAACAGGGAATTGGAGCTGTTGCCATACACAATTTGATGGAAGATGCAGCCACCGCAGAAATTTCACGAGCACAACTATGGCAATGGTTGCGTCATGGTGTGCGACTTGAGGATGGACGTCCCTTCACCCCAGAGTTTTACAAAACTTTGCACAAAGAAGAGCTTGAGAAGCTTGGAGGTCCATCCAAAAGCCGTTTGGCACAGGCATCTCACCTTTTGGATAAGTTGGTACTCTCTGAAGAGTTTGAAGAGTTTTTGACATTGCCAGCATATGAACTTCTTGACAACCCCTCAGCCAAGCTGTAGATTTTCAGTTATCAAGCTTTATCCTACAGCATGAATGTTATTAATTGCTGTATTGGGTTTAACATGGTGTATAGTTGTCCAGAAATTCACCAATGTCACTAACAACCATTGTCTGAGCAACAAGTTTTCATTTATTTAAGATGAACTCTTGTAAGTGATAATTCTGTGGTTTTTGATGGACAAAATGTCGTCACCATGAGAAGTCTGTTGTTCTAGAAACTTGAGGCTGGTAAAGGTATTGGTTTTTGACTGAAAATTTGGATGTAATAATCAAGTTCAAAGATGATGTAGTGATAGTTTACCAATTAAAAAAAAGACTTTGCTTGGAAACCATTTTCATTTTTGAACACACTTTGCCCTTCACCCTCCCTTTCTCACTGTAAGATTTAACACCTACAACCATTATGGACACCTTTCAGAGATCTTTGGAATGCATAAGATACCTGTTACTCCTTAACCAAAAGATGACAAAATTTTGCACTGTCACATACAGACAACTTGCCTGTAGTACAGACTCAAACTTACACAATGCAACTCAGAGAAAAGTGTATAAAATATCATAGAAATTTATTACAGAAGTTTCTTAAATATTTGTGGCAAATACAAATAATTCAGTACTGCAATGTCAACAATCCATAAATGTTATTTACAGGATTCAGTTTTTATGACTTCTATCTCAACTTTACTTTTCTTACACTCTCTCCTTACACTCATCTCCTTAATTAAAATCCTAACTTTTTTACAAATTATTTTACATATAAGGACATCATTATTATCTACCCATCTTCTAATCTGGGGAACATCATAATTGGAAAGTTACATGAGGATTTATTGAGCAACATTCAATATATAAATTGATCACATATTTGCAAAAGGATGAGTCATTACAGCATTGATGTTACTGAATAAACCATAGCAGTTATTTCAAACAAAACTGTACTGGAGACCAGTATTTTAAGGTTTCAAGAATACCCTTCTTTGGTATTACACTGTTTTTGTTATTGGCTAATTTTTATGAAAAATTAAAAAAAAAAGATTAAAATTAACTAATACAGGTTTGACAAAATTTAAAAATATTTTTGTTCTTTGTTGAAAGGAGTGGTTTCAAATATAGCTGATAATGGTTTTTTCAAAACAGACCTATTTTATTGCAATGTGTAACCCATGTTTACACTCAACGGTAATGACTAGAATCATTTAAAGAAACATTCTTGGATTTTGCTATGTTCCCACATTGGCTTGTTTCTAGCAAATTTCATTCAAACCTTTACAAGCCCTGTGAAAAACCATGTTAACCCTTTAAAATCAGTATGCATATTCTCCATACTGCTCTTTATACGTTTCCTAAGGTGCTGATGGGGAGAATTTGTTAACCAATCAAAAGCTTTTGTTGGTGATCATTTACTTTATTCTCATGACCTTAACATGTGATTCAGGGGTGATACTGTAGGGAGAGATTAGATGCTAGTCACTCTCATAGTTTAAAGGGTTAACCTTTAAACTCCCATGAGTGACCAAGACAAAAGTTTCTCCTTACAAGATCAAGCAGACGAGTGATGGGAAAAAAGGAAAAATATCAATTTGGGGATTATTAGTTGATCCAATTCTAAATTCTCTGAAGTAACATCATAAGAATTGTATGACAGGCAGTAGGAGAATTACTCATGGGATCTTGGGAGTGAAAGGTTACACAAATAAATGGGAAAGAAGATAAAGTAGGGGATATGAAGGGAAAAGATTTTACTATTGGGCATAAAAGTAATGTTCCTTCAGAAAAAATTGAATGTGATTCTTGCCATAAGAATAGCTATGCAGTTTGAAATCTTTCATCAATCATATTTTGTTTTTAGTATTAATAAATGTGTCCTTCAAAAGTTCAGGTTCCTCTACTTTGACAAACACAATGTCTTCATCTGTTCCATAACTGCATCGTGCTGATTCAAACATGTCATATCTTGCACAGCAAAGAACTTCGTTAAATGATGGATTCTTGTAATACACATATCTCTTATCTGCATCAAATCCACATAATACTATGTAATGGCCACAATAGTCACTCTGATTTGATGCACATATACAGGATGTGAGCATCCTTAGTTTATTTGGAGAAAATATTTCACACCAGTGGCAAATCAAAACGTTTGAGTTCACCAGAACAATGGCAACATAACCCTTCAGCAATCTTAAAATAATTTCTTCCAATGACACACTCCTGAAATGAAATAGTAAAATTACAGATCAGCCAATTACAAGCATTTAAAAGTAGCTTTCATCATAATGCTCCATGTTACAATTACATATTATACTAATCATTGGTTACTTGTATTTGTATGATAAGATGAATCATAAGGCACTTTGTTTAGTTCTTACTAATGATCTATTGGAGGACAGACAGATGACTTCACCATGAACAAATTTTTATTTTGTTCTTATATAAAACAAATAGAATCCATGCGGCTGTGGGTCTGTAGGATCACAGATGTCAAAATAAGGTAAGAAAATCAGAGACACACTCAGCTGCACCTTGCATGTCACTGTTTTGTTCTCAAAAATTTCGACGTCACCCATGATCTACTGATGAACAGACAAACAACAACATGGAATCTATTTGGTGATTACTGCAGGGATTAACAATATCGTTCAACTTAAATCTTATTGATTTGTCGTGTTAGCTTATGTAATTGGTGATGTCTCACAATCATTCTTTTGAACCAAAAAAACAATTTGAGACTTAGTCTTTCCTTAAAAGTGTTTCATTATTAATTTCTACCTGCAATTGCTTTGATTTTTCATTTTACACCACTCCACTAAAATTTAGTCTGGAAATCAATCCCGCAATTTTAAAAGTAAATAAAAAATTGATAATTCCGGAATTGTAAACATAGAAATTATCTTCTAATGGATCAAACATGACCTCAAGAGTTTAGTAATAATTTTTAAGGTTCCAACTGTAAAACCTGAAAGTTAAAGGCCCATCAGTGTACGCAAAGATAAGGATGATATTGGGATTTACACGGGTTTGTTTACAAAATGAACGTGATCACCAGAAGGTCATATGAGTGATAACTGACGTTGATTGCATCACGTACAAAGTGTACAGACAAAGGCGTCTCTCTCTCTTCTTTTAATTAATGTTTTCAGCAGGAATATGTCACCATCAACGAAGAAACTGAATATACGAATTAAATCATTTGGGCTGGAATATACAAGAGCCATTAAGAGTTCACATTGCGTCAATAGACGTCAAACGGGTTGAGGGGCAAACTAACTAATTTATGCTACGTCATGCATGTCACGCAAATAATAATTTTGTTTCGTTAAATAAAATTACTATTAAGCTTAGGCCAAAAACCATAGTGGAAAAATTTTGGGATTTTTTTAATGACAACTTACCTTTTATCAACCTTTAATTCTAACTGTGGTGCGAGAGAGAACAGGCGATTTACTCTTGTTTCGTCCAAGGTGAAGGTTCCTTCGTAAAACGAGTTTTGCCCGTAACTTGGATCTACTCCTAAAGTTTTCGTGCAGAAAATGTAATCAACCCTGTACTCAGTGAAAATACTAGCAATGTCTATGGTCCAAACACTGCTTCCAAAATTCTTTTTCGCGCAAATTTCTTCGTATTCCGAGTTATCGAACTTATTCCCCAAAACCTTCTGTAAAACCATCAACGAACATGCCAATCCACAATCCCAGTCTGTTTTCTGTTTTACGTGAGGCAACTCGATCTGTAGACGAAACATTTGAGAGAAAAATATGAGCCCTTCCTTGCCTATGTGTGGTCTCCTTGTGATGTCCCTGACTGTTTGTGAAATAGTACTACAGAGGAATACAAACAAAACATATTTATCCGGAAGAGCGGGAAGCGCGCCAGCGAGTTGGTCCGGTTTGAACGTGATGTTTACGTACAAACATCCCAACCCCCAGCCCTACGGTAGAAAATACGCTACGAAGGAAAAGTCACGCAGGACGTCACGCGACTCACACACTAAGGTCATGTCTTGATGCAATGGTCTCATAACTAAAAATTCTCTTTTCAGTTTATCAAATGATAAGCAAACTAAAGAAGAAATAGGTAACGAAACCTTGAGCAAGAATGGATATGGAGATATGGGTATTCCGATACTGTTGATCAAAATCATATATCCTTGAGCAGAAGCATACAGCCTAAATATAAGCTTCTGCCTTTAGCCATTCACTTTTTCAGCAAAGTTTATTCGTTTGGTTCAATAAAATTCTCAAAAAAGTCTTCCCAGGTTATTTTTTAAGAGACATTACAGGCATCTTAGGTTTAAACTGAAATATATGTATTCAAAATTCCCCACTTTCACATCTTTCGTAGAACACTAAGCTTGCCGCTGTTGATTTCGCGTCTGGTTTGTTGTACATACATCTTTGGACAAATAGATGTTCCCAAACTCTTACAAACTAAAAAAATGCCTATGCAAAAATTTTGGGCATACAAAAATTTTGAATTGAAAGTTAATGTAAATGCATTTAATTTCCAATATGCCTTTTTCTTATCTAACATAATAACCTTTGTTTGCTCCCCGAAGTTTCGCTAAAGGGTTGTTTTAAATTTCTCATAGGACAACTAAATGTTTCAAGATAAAATTACTACAATGCCTATCCAAAGTTTCGGGTCCAAACACAGTGTGTGATCATAGAATTAAGGTCTTTGAACTAAGCTACACAGCCTATAACTGATAAGCACTAAGTTTAACATATTAGAAATATGTTAGAAACCGCTAGAAATTGCCAAATCTATTGATTTTTTTCCACAATTTTTTGTGGATTACAGTTGATTTGTTCAAAATTGCCCAAAACCAACAAGAAACTAATAAATTATACATACAAGTCGACAGCCAATATGCTTACCTTGAATTTTGTGCCTTTCCTCTTTCGTTGTCTCGAAATTTTGTACCCCGGCATTTTTAAACTCCAGCCTTCAGTTAAGGTCTCCCAAACTGTTATATCTTAAATTAGCACAATCAGACTTTGAATAAAGCACATCTTAGGACTCTGCCTCGATTAATCGACCAGATTGACATAAATGTATCGATTAGTTTAGGAAAGGTATTTTTGTTCTTTTCACAGCTTCTCAGGCTTGGTCACTAAGCCTGGTTCTCTCCCAATACTCCTCGGATTGTAACGTTTGCAAACGTTTGGAATAACGAGGCTGTGAATGCCAGCGAAGAACGTACTTCAATCCAATACATCTACGCGTTTTCACAACTTCATCTTCGCTGAAAAGCAGCCACAGGAAGAGGTTAATATTTATTTTAATCGAAGATGTCGATAGGAGTGCCAATTAAGATTCTGCACGAAGCAGAAGGACATGTTGTCACGCTCGAAACGATGACTGGTGAAGTATACAGAGGAAAGCTCGTCGAGGCTGAAGACAACATGAATTGCCAGATGTCAAACATCACGGTAACCGCAAGGGATGGACGAGTTTCACAGCTAGAACAGGTCTTTATTCGTGGAAGCAAGATTCGGTTTCTGATTCTCCCAGATATGTTGAAAAATGCTCCAATGTTCAAGAAAATGACACAGAAAGGCTCGGGAGGCAGCGGAGCGGCGGGAAGAGGAAAATCAGCTATATTGAGAGCACAAGGTACAGTATTACTGTTTATTTATTATATTATATCGATCAAGTAACAGCCTTTTCTATCAATTTTCTCCCTATAGAAAGCTGGAACTGTATAACCTGGGCCATGCACAAAGGTGTCTGCCAATGTCTATTGCACCTTTGCGCATGCACCCTAGTTCTGAAGCTAAATATTTAAAGTAGGTTTCTGGTTTTCTGTGCGTAAATTAATTGGAGTTGTAAAGAGATTAACATAGGATCGGATGTTATTACAAGTTGCAAATACTAGTTGGAAATTGTTAGCAATGGGTGAATGAGCTTTTCACTATAGTGCTGCACCAGGGCTAGATATTTGAAGGATTGTGCTTGGAAACATGACTGCTCTATTCGTTTATAAGTTGCTGTTCCAACAGGAATTATGTTTGTGATTAATTGGCTACATCTAAATGCAAATTGAATACTTCACATTTTGCCACAGTTAGGATTGACTTGGTGTTAACCTTTTGAAGGGATGGAAACACTATTTTGGTCAAATTTAGGTCATGTTACCCCTGTGCAATGTTTCTGCAAGTCAAATCACCCTGTTACTTTGCCCCTAAATATAGTCATGTTGCCCCTAACAGAAATAAGACTTGTTTATATCTTATTAACACAGGATTGATTTCCATACACAAATAGTGCAGACTTCTTTTTGTTTCAGGATTCTTCACTTTGTGGTTGCCAAGAGAAATTTCTAAATGTTATGGATTACTCCTATTTCTAAATGCATGTGTTGTTTTCTTTTTTCTACAGCTGCAGCAAGAGGAAGAGGAGCACCCACTCGAGGCGGCAGAGGAGGCAATGTTTTCCAGAGAAGAAGATAGCTTACTTCTTGGATTTTTTGTGAACCATTACAGAAAAGAAACAGCTGATTCTCTCTAGTGTGTAAATAGTACTTTTGTAAACAACTGGCATTAAGACATCTGTAAAGTTAAGTCCAAAATGAGCAATGGAAACACCTTTCCACCAAGACAGTGTTTGTACAGGACATCAGAACATTTCCACTAGAATAACGAACTGTATATTTTGGTTTTCTTAATGAACATTTCCTTATATCTTGGTCCCTTTTTGGTCAGATAATTATTTCTTCTTTATTAAAATGGATTTGTAAGGCCTGCTTTTTAAAATCTCAGTCCAGAACATTATCTCCTTTCTGTAATTCTAGATTATTGTTTTATTCATGGTAGTACATAAGGGCATTGACTTTGATTGATCAAATACAAGCCCAAAATAAAAAAGACCAAACATTTCAACAACCTGTCCTTCCTTCCAAACTTAAAAGCTTAACTGATATACATTTATGTGTGTGTGTGTGTGTGTGTGTGTATATATATATATGTATACATAAGTTAAAGAATTAAAGAGGACACATTGATTCTCTGTGACTGAGTTTGACATCTAAGTGCTCATCACAAAAGAAAAGTTCTGTCTGATGAGTGCTTAGGTGTGAAACTCAGAGTCACAGAGAATTGATGCATCCTCTTTAATTCTTTAACTTGTGTATACTTGGCTCTGCTACCACAGTATTGAGCACGTTATGCCAAGTTAGACTCTACCCCCACATTCATTATATATATATATATATATATATATATATATATATATATTTGTAGATATGTGTTTGTATATGTGTGTGTATATATATCTGGAAGTTGGACAAATGAATAAGAGGATAGACTATAATCAGGAGTTACTCACATTTAAATGTGGAGAGTGATATTTTTATTTGCATTGATCAGCCATTGTTATAACTCTGGTAAAAGTTTCCGACACTCAGTCCAAATGCACTCCTGTGTCAATCTAAAAATTATTTGCATTGTAATTATCAATTTGTGGAGAAGGTAATGAAATCTCAAACAATCTTTATTTTGTGTAAGGAAATGTTACCTATCTGATCATTTGATTGATAATTGAACAATAAGTATAAAGGGATTGGAGAGAGAAAACAGTAACATTTGCGACCCATTCCCCCTTGTTCTCGGTGCTGTTGTAGGGTAATCTATTATTGCAATACGGGTTTGGCCCGATTGTCAGCCGCTGATTGTGAAATGAGCCCACACTCTCCCTACCCTACACGAATTCTACTGCAAACAGTTATAGGTATACTGAGTAAATGACAACAACTTTTAATTATTGTATACAGGTACCTCCATAGTTTCTTCGGTTTGTTAGTTACTAAGGAATGTAACAAAATGGTGGCGTTTTCTTCATGTGAAAAAGGCACGACACATGACGAGAAACTTTCAGAAGCAACCAATATTGAAACCTCAGTCTAGTATAACAATAGTAAAATCCTATGGGCTTAAAAGTGAAAAAATCGCCTGACAATTTTGTAATCGTTTCAAATTCGAAAACATCTACCACGCACTGCAAACAAAAAACTTTCAGACGTTTGGCGTGATTTAAACGTTGAGAACAATGATCTGTTTACTTTGAAAAATTATTAAATCGCTCTCACTTGAAGTGACCAGCTCGTTGCCGGGAAGTGTTTTCAAGTTTCAATCTAAAGTTGGGAATAGTTCTTACGACATATCGATGCAACTACAATGTTGCAGCGACTAGGGATTCTGATTTAAAGTCAAGTCAGTTTTTACTCTCAGGTAAGATATTATTTGTCTTCTGAGATTCTATTACGTCGGCGGACAAAACCTGGAGAATACTTGTTTATCAAAGATTTCTTAAATCCCAGACACCGACGAATTCGGTATATTACATAAACTTGTACAAAACACCCCTGAAATTTGTTAGTTTTCCATGTAACTGAACAAAATGGCAAGGTTAACATTAGAATTTACCCTTGCGCCGTGCAATTGATATTTATCAGAAAATATACCGTGAAGTAAGCGTGTATAATGTTTTTAAGTTGCACAAGTAGCTCCATTAAAGGTCTGTATTAGCTCCAACTCGTTAGAGATCAGTAATTTGCCGAACAAGGTTGTCATTCACAGAAGTTCCGATTTTCCGTGCGGCACATTTGTCTTATAATCATGTACACCTTTTCCTCTTGAGCAATTTGGTTGTGCACGCAATTTATTTCTGATGAATCATAGGAATTCTTTCTATCTTTTTGACGTCTGAACTGAGTGAATCGCGTCCATAAATCTAGGACTCGCAAACGGCTGGAACCAAAAAACACTATCACCTTTACGATACATATCTATTATAAATGTACATCTGACTTTCATTTGGTCGCGTTGTCTCAAAAAATTTTGTTAACCAGGTTAGTCAGGGCTAGCTTGAATCACTCAGGGAACAAATTTTTTTCTTCTCCAAGTAAATTAAGATTTCCTGTAGTTCGTAATGTAGTTTTTATAGTTCCTTGTCAGTTTTTTTTTGTGCGTCACTGCATGCCTGAAATTCACTGCGCTTTTTGCACTAAACGGTATTAGCGAATAAGGAAGGAATAAGCTTAATGAACAGACCTGTTTAGAAGTTAGGGTAATCTTTTAAGCTTAGTCAATTAGAAAATTTTTCTTGATTTTCACCTCTCTCTAGAAGCCATATGTTTAATGACCGGATATAGCTAATTATTGATTTTTAACTCGTGAATTGCGCGCATGCGCAAGAGCGAGTTATAGATACGATGTGGGGAATGGCATTCGCTCGCTCGCTCGATTGGTCGATTCCTGTAAACTTTTTTTAGATTTAAGGCTTTTGAGTGCATTTGATAGTTTTTGGCTAGCAATAAACAGACGAAATGGCGACCTTTGTTGCTAAGAATAGTGGTAGGGTGGTGGGGTGAAAAAGAAGCCAATGATAATCTTAAAAGAGTTTTTTTTTTCGTTTTAGTTTCAACAAGCGGCGCCAGCGACTGGCAGGCATGCAAGGATTCACATTGAAATAACAGAACAACCTTCGTTTTTCATAAAATTGTAATTTACAATCCTTGAACTTGAAAACAATCCGAAGATTCATTGAAAATATCACTTACTGCGAAGCGCTCGGAGTTTACAGATGTTCAAAAGCTTTTTCTGTTATGGCGTGAGATTGCAGACAAAATCGATCATTACGTTTCGTCGCGTGTGTTTTTCCTGTGTGAAGCAACAAAAGATGCCGGCGACTGACGAAATAACAAGTTAACACGAAAATTAAATAACACCTAAACAAACAATTTTAGCTACCGATTTTCAGTGAATTTTTAAAGAACAATTTTCTTTTAGGTTTCAAGACAATTTGAAGATTCAACATACATACAACGTACTAAAATGCGAAAGTTACACACCACAAAATTGATAAATAGGCCTGAAATGAAATTCTATCTTGTTATTGATTATACGTTGCCTAGCACGTGACTTAAATCTACCCAGGCGGAGATCCAAAATGACGGTGGCAGGCTTGGCTTAGTTATATCACTCAAAACTCGTTCCCGTTTGTCTCGTTTGATAAAGAGGGAATCGTTAATGTTTTCATTAAGACAGTATTGCCTTGATTTTCTAATATTTACAACGAAAGACAGTAAATTTCACTTTTCACCCACATTTACTTCCAACCTTTTCTTTTGAACCAGAAACAAAAATGATAGACGTTTAAAACACGCATCATCCACCTTTTCAAATGTAATAGCATGATCATTTCAATTGTAATGCCTTCTTATCCCAACGTTACTTTGTTTCTTTGCTACATTAGCGAACACTGAACTACTGCTCGTACTCCAGATATGACAATCAACTACAAAATTCCCTAAACCAGATAACATTAAACATAATCTAAAAAATCATGTGTCAATTCACGAGTTTGCTCACAGAGCACTTTGATTAAGGAAGATGATTGATTTAATCTGATGATTTTGGCACCTCGTATGATGTCTGTGTCACCTAAAAAAACAAACTGTCGGCTTTAAATACATATTTTCCTTAACCTCGCATTTGAATCGCGTAAAGAAAAGCTACCATCGAAGAAAATTGTAAAAGAAACTGAATTTGAGTTTGTCATAATCGCCTGGGTAAGTTATATCTAATTGCTAAGATTCTAAGACTGGTATTGTTGATTACCTTTCCTTTATATTATATGTACAATCTGAGAGTAACGCTACTAATCATGATATACAAGCATTTATGTACAACGACAAGAAAATTTTAGGTATTCAGTGTAGCCACGCCAACAGACTAGTTTTGGCAGAATTCACTTTGATTGCATGAGAAGTGGATTGTAATCGAGCCTTTCCTAATTCCTGTTCTGTTGTACCTGTTTTACGAGTCTCTTGTGTTACAGTTGACGCTTTTTTCAGCAATCAGATATCATTACAAAAATCCACCTTTGTACTTGCTGTCATGGATATACGTTGGACTTTTATTTAGTTGTATTGTCACCAAGAATTTACTTAACCGGGTCAGTCAGCTATAGTCAGTGCTAGCCTGTATCATTAGGGACACAATTCTGTTAGTCTCAAGTAAAGACTTCCTGTGGTTCTAGGGCAGTTTTTGAACTTCCTAAAAGATTTCATAAAATTTTATCTTTGTGCGTCATTGCTCGAAATTCTCGTCAGCCGACTTTCCTGGTGTAGTTTATGACTGACGTAAGCTAACCTGGTTCTTTCAGTTTTCCTTTGTTTTTTCCTTCTCTGAAGCTCCCACTTTTTCCGCTAAATTTCAGAGCAAGTTTTTTTAGCTCAGATAATTTAAATAACTCGTCTTTATTTTACCCTCTCTCTCGGTCAAATGTTTAACTGGATATATCTAATTATATAATCATTTATCTCTAAGGAAGATCATATTGACATTATGTATTCACGTGCCTGAGTCTAGACTGAGTCACTTACCAGTGACAAACTGTCAGAAGTGAATGCATATTTTCCTTACCAAATTTGTATTGTGAAACAAGTTACTCTTGAAGGAAATAGTGACAAAAATTAATCTGAGGTTGTCCTAATCGCTTATGTAAGTTTATATTCACCATTCTGATACCAAAAGTTGGAATAAAAAAGATGTAATCAGCGCCCAACGTGGGGCTCGAACCCACGACCCTGAGATTAAGAGTCTCATGCTCTACCGACTGAGCTAGCCGGGCGAGCTATATAATTGTCGTTTGGAACATTCTCCGCCTCACTTTCCACAGTCTCTGTTTCTCTCTACGCCACGCTTTTTCACTTAGCCTCTGGTAAAATTCTAATTGCAAAACTTTTATTTAGTTGTATTGTCACCAAAAATTTCCTTAACCGGGTCAGTCAGCTAAGTCAGTGCTAACTTGTATCACTAAGGACACAATTCTGTTAGTCTCAAATAAAGACTTCCTGTAGTTCGTAGGGCAGTTTTTGAACTTCCTCAAAGATTTCATAAGATTTTGTCTTTGTGCGTCATTGCCCGAAATTCTCGTCAGCCGACTTTCCTGGTGTAGTTTATGACTGACGTAAGCTAACCTGGTTCTTTCAGTTTTCCTTTGTTTGTTCCTTTTCTGAAGTTCCTACTTTTTCCGCTAAATTTCAGAGCAGTTTTTTTAGCTCAGATAATTTAAATAACTCGTCTTTATTTTACCCTCTCTCTCGGTCAAATGTTTAACTGGATATATCCAATTATATAATCATTTATCTCTAAGGAAGATCATATTAACATTATGTATTCACGTGCCTGAGTCTAGACTGAGTCACTTACCAGTGACAAACTGTCAGAAGTGAATACATATTTTCCTTACCATATTTGTATTGTGAAACAAGTTACTCTTGAAGGAAATAGTGACAAAAATTAATCTGAGGTTGTCTTAATCGCTTATGTAAGTTTATATTCGGTTCTTACGATTCTAACGTTTCTGTTCATCTTGTATTTCACTATAGAGCAGCTCGTTGTTTTGATATTGTACTATAAATGTCACTTACAACTGCACTTGAATGATGCTTCGCAGTCAAACACCTTCGTAACCTGAATGCCCTCTGCATACTTCCATAAATTTCAACAAGATAAAACAATGGGACCTTGTTTTCAGCCAATCTCTCAGCGCCTGAAAAAATTTTAATGGGTCATCTCGATTTGTTTGGTCTCAAATTCACTTCGATAAAAACTGTTTCACCATTCTGTTACCAAAAGTTGGAATCAAAATACGTAATCAGCGCCCAACGTGGGGCTCGAACCCACGACCCTGAGATTAAGAGTCTCATGCTCTACCGACTGAGCTAGCCGGGCGCGCCTCAATTGTGAAGCAACAATTTAAGAGTGTAGATGTCATCTGGAACATTCTCTGCCTCACTTTCCACAGTCTCTGTTTCTCTCTACACCACGCTTTTTCACTCAACCTTTGGTAAAATTCTAATTGCAAAACATGAATTAAACGCAATACACTAATATTGGTACTTTTGCTTGGCATTGGCATTTAGAAGTAATGCAAAAATCTTGCTCAGAGCTAAGCACCTGAAATGGTCCGGAATTATTTTAGTAAATTCGGTATGGCCTTTCTAAAAATTCACTGATAAGGTTACCCTATAGCGTGAAACGATATTAAGCAGCTGTAGCCCAGATCGAGGGTACTTACTTAAAAAAACAGAAATTTTCCATACGCAGACAGGGTCTAATTAATTCTACCAAAGAAAAATGAAATTTCAGTTGAGGTTTCTGTCCCCGAAGGCATCAGTGAGTCATCACTATTTTTCGCTTTCTTTAATATAATGAAGCAACTGGGAGTTCTGCTCCTTTGATTTTCCAGGGCGGAGTATCTTGTGTTGCTAATAGAATTTGATTCCTACCGTAGTCTTTTAGTAACGACGTTTTGTTAAGTTACACGAGGAGTGGATCTTCCCTGAGTGACGGAAGTCGGTAAGGAACTTAAATCTCTTATGACCCATGATTCCAGGAATATGAAAACATTCTGGGTTGATCCATAGGTATGAAGTACGTTGCGAACGCATTGTTTCTTAAATGAATTGTGTCAAGTTATGCAGTTATGCTTCCCACTGGTCTGAACGCATAAATTGGCGTGTAGCGTCCGAGTTCTCCCTTCAGGGTCTGAGCGATAAAAAAAAGTTACCATATCGATCATTATTAACTACATCAATGCATTGCTTGACTTGACGCTAAATAAACGACCTTTAGCCTCGGAGCCTATTGTCTTACTTACTCTGTGACAAAATGAGAAATTGAAATTGAAAGAAGAATGCTTTAATTTTGCTTCAGATGCCCTCAATCGGAGCTGCAAATGCCAGAGACGGGCATGTTTCTTTCTAACCAGAAAGGGGCAGAAATACACTTTTACTACACTTTCTATCGATTTGCCGGCGTAATAAAGAAAATAAAGAAAATTTTGTATATCAGAGGCAGGTCTATTTTTTATAAGATTAAACTTCAGTTTTCAATGGGTTCATCCGTGCTGTAAACGTAGCATCTCAGGCATTTTATAAAGGTAATCACAGTTTCAAACGTTAAAAAATACCCAACATTTTTAATATTATTCCAGCTGTGCAACACCAAAAGGTCTACAACGTAAGGGAAAGGTCGCACAACGAAGGCAGATAACTATCTTAGTAACTGTCAGTTGCAAATGGATCTTACTTCAGGAAAGTCGGAAATGGAAACACTAGTTTTGTTTGACGAAAGGTTTAGAACTTATTAACATAATAAAATTAAAAGATCTTCTTGATACTTTAATTAAGAGTCTACACAATTTATTTTTGGGCTCACGTTTAGAGCAGGAAAGGGCGAAAGTAAAGAAAAAACTCATTTGATTTTTCAGGAGGATTGTAATTCGCCCGGCTAGCTCAGTCGGTAGAGCATGAGACTCTTAATCTCAGGGTCGTGGGTTCGAGCCCCACGTTGGGCGTTGAGCTTAATTGCTTTCGCAAAAATTATTTATTTTGCAGTGATCAGAAGGACAAATGTATAGACTTATTGTTTTGAAACACAGCGTTAAAATTTTATCATTTCTGACGGAGAACAAATAAATAAATACTGCGTTCGAAGTCAGTATTTCAAAGCACAGGTGCCCAGGCGAATGGCTAATAGGGGTATGCGTCGCCATGGGAACACTGGACGATCTGCACTAATGGTAAAAAGTGGACTTAAATTTTTTTTTTCCATTCCAGCGCCATGAGCTTAACACAGGTCAGAGACGTCTCGGTTGAGGACATATGCAAAAGAACAAAGCCAAGAAAACATTACGTAAGCTTTTTTCAAAGGGCCATAAAACCAACTGGGAAGGAGGTTGTAATGAAACGACTTGAATCGGAAGAATTCTTGAATTTCATTTTAATCAGTATTTTGGACAGGTGACTAATCAAAAAAAGATCCCAGAAAACCAGTTTATCGCCAGGAATTAACCTAAAACAAAATAAAACGTGAAGATGTAGTGGATCTGACGAGGGATACACTATGGACCCCTAGAGACCTTCAAATGACCCTAAGCGAAGGAAGCCTGACAAAGGAGCCCTGACAAATGTCTTCAGTCAGCTTGCTGATATTCACTGATTTGAAATAATACAGGATGATCAATTGAACTTAATTTCTCCATTCGTCGATAGGTATACTTCATTCAAGTTCATTGGCATGACGGACCCATCACTCCAGTCTACAGAAGCTACAGCACCCTCCTTGAACTGCAGGTACTCATACTACTGAATCTGTCCGACGGGAGACTGGTTATAAAAATCGGAAATTATCAAAATTAAAAACCACGGTGCCTGAGTTTTTGTTGGGAGCTCTTCAGTTGACGTAATCATTTGTTTGGATGTCAACGCATGCGCACACGGTGGCTAAATGAATCGATAGGAAGTTAGTACAACATCATTTGAATGCAATCGAATATTATTCACGGTCAGGTACAAAAAAAATTGATATAAAATCTTAAACAAAGAAATCATTCTGGCCTCCCAACTATTGCATTTTATCGCCGAGATTTCATCAACTATGATCAAAAAAAAAATTCTTACAGCAAATTGGTGCCCCTTTGAGGGGAGTTTCCTGTCAGTTGAACAGCCAATGAGAACACAAGAGAGCTTATGTAGTGTGGTTATTTCGCAGGAAAGGTTACTAAAAATAGAAGACTTCATCTTGAACCAGAACGACCCAGCTTCTAGAACACTGCTCAAAGGTAACTTAAAAGCTACCCAAGAAGTTTTAAAAATGTTTGGTCCACATGACAATTTCTAGTAAGCATAAGTTTATGTTCGATATCTCTTATGGTCTCCAAACTTTTCTCCACAGGAAAGTCATTTTCTGGAAGGTTTACTATCAAAAAACGCGCCAAAGCACTAAAAAGAATGCCTGCTGTCGAAGAATTCCTCAAAGTAAGTTACAGAAAGTAAAAATGCAGCCATGTCATGTTGACACAACGAAGCTCATTTTTTGTAGTCATAGCAGTGATACTTTTTTAAAGTTTGCCGCTGACACAATACTACAAAAGGGGGTATAACAATTTTCCAAAGAAACTGTGGTGCTTCATGGGGGGGGGGGGGGGGGGGGGGTTATTACAGAATAATGTGGTTTCATCAACCTGCTAAGTTGATAATATAATGGCCACCGTAGAGAGTTTCTCAGGCTGGCGTCTCAAGCGTGAGCCCTTTGTTAGAGCGAAGGAAGTATTAAATGGAAAATTGCCAACGAAACTAATTTCTAACTTTTTACTCCATTTTTAAATTTTTTTGGATAAAGCTAATTGGCCATTCACCTTAAATTCGAATAACAGATTTGTTTTCTCCCTTTTACAGTCTATAGTTCATCAACCTCCGCATATTTCTGGATCAGATCCTGTAATAAACTTTTTTCACCCTCTTCCCGAAGATCTTATCGAGTTAGACCATGATCAAGCAGAGTAAGTGAACAAGTGTAGTACACTTGTGTCTCTTTATGTTTTTATGAGGGAATCCATCCCGATGATATTAAGTGGGGTTGAAACTTTTGTCCACAGTTTGCACCTAGGCGCGCATTCCGTGGCTCAAAAACAACATTATCATATCATCAGAGCAAATGGGTGACTCTGGTTTATTCTAACATTATTTTAGTTCACACAACAGCACTCCGCTGCAAGGAAAATGTTCAATGAAATATTCCTGTCTTTTATTTTTCTTTAGAAAAAATCGAAATATGGATAGACGCGCATCAAAAGGAAAATGTAAGCCAACATTACAATCCTACAGTATCCAACATGAACTCTTGTATCCTGGGGTTAAAAATATTCTTCATAAATTTTCAATTAATTAAGCTTCACTTTGCAAGTTACGTTGTTGTTGTTGTTGTACGCACATACTCTTTTAATAAACAGTAAAAATCTTCTTTCAAAATTCCTGTTCACAGGCACCTGTGTCTCGGCTAGTTGGCTCAGTCGGTAGAGCATAAAACTATTAATCTCGGGGTCGTGGGTTCGATACCCACGTTGAGAGTTCATTGGAAGTGATTATGCAAACACAATTTTGTGCAAATCTAGCTTTTTGCTGTTGTTGATGGTTTTTTCAGGTCAGTTCATAAATTGGGAGATGGATAACCGCATAAATAATGAGAAGTTGATTTTTTTATAAGCAATTTAACTATTTCCTGTATCAGACCTTCAGCACATATCGGAGCCATTCCTGCTGGAGCAGTACGTGGCAATCGCAGATTACACAAGTAGAGAAGTAAATGACATAAATCTCACAGCAGGGAACGTTGTGGAAGTTATCCAGAAAAATGAACACGGTGAGTGATGTGATGCCCAGCTTGTTAAAGGCGTGGCAGCCTCGTGAGCTCATTCTCTATGGACAATAATTTATGATAAACTTAATTTTCTCGGCTTGATGGGTTATTGTTATTAACATTTTTTGTATAAGTATTGGTATCCCTGCGCGCGCAGCAAGCTCCGCCATGATTTTTTGGTAGGACACCGAAATCCAAAGAGTGACGTAACATAACCTTACTGCGTACGCCGCCATTTTAAATCTTGCTTAGCAACCTGACCGATTACATTTGCTTTGACACAACTAAATTCCCTTTTTCCATCACGATGTAATGACTTCTTTCCACGATAACCAGAGCGGCAGCTATTTGTAAATTGCAAACTATTGAAGTTTACTTTTTCATAGCGTGATTTTCATCTTCGTTTCACTGCATCAGGATTAGGTTACTTTCACTACGCAATTAGCTTCAGATCTTGAGCTGATTACATTTCAATAAATTGTGTCTTTCAACTTTCTCTGAAATATTTTTTGTTTACGCTTCTCATTGAAGGTTGGTGGTTTGTGGACCTTGACAGTGAGGTGGGCTGGGTACCAGCATCTTACCTTGAACCCCGGGACGGCAGCATGGATGATCAGGTGTTGGAGACTTTTGAGGAAGGAGAGGGTAAGGTACTCTGCTACGTGCGATCCAGTCACCTCTTTAATGTATGTATGAAGTACACTGCCGCTCCCCAATAGCCAGCTTATTGACCTTTTTTTCCCATGAACCCTCCCTTCGGTCGAGAATTCACACATTTCTGTTGAATTGGTCACTTTCTGTGTAAACAAGCCGGTGAATTATAAACTTGGGTGACGGCAAATATAGGCTCCCATTCCCCTAAATGCGGCCAATGTACGGTCTCATTACCCCCGCTTATGATGCCAATTTGACATGCCTAAATTTGTTCCGATCAGATAAGGGTTGTTTGCGGGCTCATTGCTCACTTTCAGATTGTTCTAAGGATTTATTTTGTACGAAATTATTATAAAAATAAAAATTGAAAAAAAACTGCCGTGCTCTGATTTCGTCTTTCTTGACACACAGAGGAAACATACATTTCCATGGCTGCCTATGAGCCTCAACTTGACGACGAGGTTGGGTTTGAAATGGGAAAAGTCGTCAAGGTCATTCAGAAAAATCTGGACGGATGGTGGTTTGTCAAGTAAGTTGTGATAGTTTTTAGAGGAACCAAACTTAAATGATTATTGCTTGGATTTAAGTCTAACAACTGGAAATTTCGAAAGTATATTGACTGATATCTACCAGCAACATAATTCGCAACAAGATTACTTTACTCGCGACAGGTTTGAAGAGAAAGAAGGCTGGGCACCATCAATGTATCTGAGAGAGGTGGCCTCGTCCCAGTACAACGCAAGACAGAAAGGAAAACATGCTGCAGTCAGAGCTATGCTCAGAGATACACGTTTGAATAGCATTTCTGTCCTTGCTGGTAAGAAAAATAGAATTCCCGCACGAGTAGATTCACTTAAGTCACAATTCTCTGGTCCGTCTGTCGGGCTGTCCATCCCCATATACTTCTTTTAAACTCTTTTGTCCCCATCTGGCTGTTTACAAAATCTTTTTGTTTCCTTTCCTCCAGGAAGAAGACAAACATGGGACCCACCAGCCAGGAAAAAGAGTGTGGTACGAATTTTTTTTGACACCTTTTAAAGAATATGAAATGACCATCTTTATTAATTTTGTTTCTTCTTAAAATCTTTATTTCACCCGAAGAGGAGGAACGAAAACCAAGCCGTCTCCAGCTCTGCTAGAAAAGAGAACAGTTTCACCACAAAGCCTGTCGGATCCTACGTAAATCTGGAGTTTCATCAAGTCACGAAGAAGCCTCAAGGAAGACGGAATCCGCGGCAGAAACAAGACCCCAATGAAGTAAGAGCAGGATGCAGATTAAACGGAGAATCAAAGAGCATCCTTAAGGTCAACTCTGAAAATTCAGTTAACGATGTGCAGATTAATGGCTTATTGAAGCCCAGGCCTTTATCAATGGTGGAAGAAGAGGATCTGGAAACTGTTTCCCGCGGGACGAGTCCCATCCCGAGCCCGTTGCTAGCTCAGAGTTCCAACAACTCAAATACCCCACCTCCCTCTTCCGACGAACGTTATCACTTCCGCCCGATTAAACTCCCGGAGGAGGAAACAAAAGAGGATTTGGAGTTTCCGGTTGAGGACGAGGAAACCGTACACGGATCTAGCCCTGAAAACCCTGTCATCGATTCCCATAGTGATGAAAACCAACAACCTGATGTGCAAGACGAAGACGAGGAAGAAGGCGAAGAATATACCGAAAATATGCCGGAGCTGGTGAATAACAGATTCTTAGCCATGGGATCCTACGAAAAAGAGGGCGAACAGGAAGTAAATCTGCAAGAGAATGCTGAGGTTGAACTTCTAGAAGAATCGGAGGGGGGCTGGTGGCTAGTGCGCACTTCAAGTCATTCTGTAGGTTGGGCACCGTCAAATTTCCTAGAGAAAGTTCAAAGTTTAAAAACTGGTCGGGTGGAAACTGTTACCGAGTCACATGTTGAAAATGTAATTGAGGTGATACCAATACGTCCGCCCAAATCACCCAAAGTCCTCAAGATGGCGCAAGATATTTGTGTAGAAGAGAGATTTTGGAAATATCTCCAAAAGGGTAAAGAACAGGACACCTGTCTAATTGACGCAGAAGACTTAGATATCGAGGGTATCAAGGCACCTCTTGAGGCAAAAGAAGACAATAACGAGGTTTTTACTTGCACATTTGATGACTACGAATGTAATCCTGAGAGTGGGGTTTGTCTGAGAAAAAGCCAAGAACCCAGCGAGGTCAAGTTCGCGCCTACGAATGACGTCCCTTCTGATCAGGAACATCTTCAAGCGTCCTGGAATAGACCCGGTAGTATGGAAAGATCAGAGAGTGTTCCTAGTCTGGCTGAGTGTGAAGACTTTGATGATTTACCCTCCGATTAAATGATCAAGTTAACAACCAACGAATCACCTGCACAAGCAGTGATGAAAACTGCTGAGCCTCATACGTTTGAAGTGAAAATATTACAAGATAGTTAGGTCAGACATCGCGAAATAGACTCTCGCTACTTCCGTGCAAAGAGTCATCATTTCCTTTTCTCGTAGAGTGTATTTCTTCCCTTTTAAATCAGAAATAATTAAGGATAATGAAGAAATTTTGTATGTTGTGAACTCCGGTTACACTCCTCTGGCTTTTTCTACTTCGCTGTGGGTCACAAAAAGGCTCAATGGTAGTGACCGAGTTTGCTTAACCCTTTGACTCCCAAGATCTGGTTTTTAATTCACCCTTCTAGCTGCTATACATTTCCTTGTAACCTAGTTAGGAGAATTTGGTGTTAGATCAAGATAACGACTTCTACCTGATAAGTTTGAGTATTCTCATTACCTGTTTGCTGGATAATCTATGGATACTGTAGGGAAAAATCACATGTTCATTACTCTGGGAGTTTAAGGGTCTATTGAGGTGTGTCCGCTGAATAAAGGTTCCTTTTATAATGGTGAGAGGACAAAAGAGATACCTCAGTCGGTGTCCGCTTAACACAGAGTTTCCACTTAATATGTGGTTCGCTAAATGCAGGTCCAACACGATCAGCGTCGATAAGTATATCTTTATTTATGGACCCTCCAATGTTAAAACTTCAATGAGCCTCCAATATATGAGTTTCTCAATTCAATACCTTGCCAAAAAAAAAAAAAAATATATATATATATATATATAACATGTTGATCAGTTCCATCTGATCTCATACCCAGATCTTACCATGTAACTGCATTGTAGGATCCGCTGGCCGTGGAAGATCTGGGTAAGAGACTAATTTCTACCTTATTAGTATTTCAATTCTCCGTTCACATAAATTTCACATAACTAAATTTTTTACCGTCGGTATGATGAAGGGAAACATTTGTTTGCTGAATTTCCTTAGAGTATGTATGAAGAAGTACGGCGCTAAAAGCAGGATTCTATTGCGTTCTGTGGTCGATAAATTGACAACAGCGGTATCTGCCATAGAAATCAAAGAAAGTATAGGAACGATTTTTTCCCCAGTCTTAAGACAAAAAGGGTGATTTTTCTGAACAAAAGTTTGACTTTGTGTTCGCCTGTAGAAAAGTGAACTTGAAAAGGGCTGAAACCAAAGAAAATTATTCCTTTTTTGAGTGAAACCCGCTATACATATTAACCTAAACACCATAATAGATGAATCATATACAAAACCACGATAATAACTGGCCAAAGTTTAAGCTGCTTCATAAAAAAACAACATAGTACTGATTCCTTCTTCAGTTAAGATCTCGTTTGGCTGGCTTCTTCTAACACCATGCCGTCTGCGAGAGAGTACTCTTGGTCGATTTGAATCTTGTGCACATATTCGGCGAGGAAATACCCGACCAAGCTGAGGGTTAAAACTACCAAGAGGATGATTAACTTGCTAATGATACACAGGTAGTTGGCGTATGCAAAAGCAATCACGAAGCCAAGTGATTCCCACAGACGGTAGTTAGAAAACGCTGGCTCCTGGTTGTCATGAAAGAACACGCCGTACATGGCTGTATTGAGAAAAATGACATTCAAAGTGATCAAACTTGGACCTTAACTGAGACATAACATGCCAATACTTTAGAGGATTCTGTTTTTAGTGAAAAAAAAATAACTCAGCCTGGTTAAGGTATTTTTTTTAAACAAAAACGTGATTCAATTTCCCAGTGTAATAACAGAGATAAAACAGGGGATCAAATAGAATTGGAAACATTGTGATTGAACCTGAAAAACAAAGGATCAAGTTCATGATTCTTTTTCATGTCGAGTATTAATGAAACAAATTTGAATAAACTGACCACAAAGATCAAATAAAGTAAATAACAGCAGACTCAATATATCAATTCATCAGTAGGTAAGTTGAGCAAGCCAGTCGGTGCGTCGGTAAGTCCAACAGTCGTCCGTTAGCCCATTAGTCCCTCTGTCAGACCGACATTCTTTCCGACAGTTGGTCAGTTAGACTGTCAGTTGACCTCTTAGTCCGTCCGTCCTGCCGCCCGTCAGTCTATCGTTCCGTATATTACTCAATGATTTCCTTTAAGCTTTCAATCCATCTAACGAAAAACCAAACTTAGCCAGCCTCATTACGATAACGTTTGGTGTCCCTGTGATGCCTTACCATTAATCTGGGTTTGCCAAACTGCGTCACAGTATCCCAATAGAGCAGCAATGACATAAAACACCCACACCATATGATAGTCGGGCTTCCAGATCAGCATAACTATAATGGTAGCATAGTGTATTACCGCACCACTGATGAAAATTGGAATTCTCCCAGTGTACTTAGTAAGACGGCCCAGAGTCAGCGAGAAAAACGCGTCGGTGGCACCAAAGCAGATCATAACAAAACCAACACGATGGATTCCGAGCGAACAAGTGACGAATGCCTGTGTAATATATCAGTAATAAAGGCGCTAAGGAACCGGTTGTTATACATCGCCTAAGGGGGGGGGAGGAGATTTTGGCTGTATCAAAATGATATTTAACTGATCCCCTCCAAAGGCTCTGTAGTAGTCTAATGATCCCCCTCATCGACAATCAATGTTCAATAGTCCCCCCTTTAAACTCTGTGCGACGACTTCCCCCCCCCATCTACTCAGCGAAAACTATTTTCTAAAAACAGTAAGCATGAAAATTAATGCAGTTTAGGATCCAAAAGGAAACCCGTTAGAGATATTGTATTGACCTGATTTTGACAGATGAGAACAAATTTTACCTGTGTGAAATCTCCAAACGTGAAGGCCTGTTCTAGCCCGCTGAACATGGTCAGCGGTAACACCAGAAGCATGCGCCAGTCCTTCAAGTGTTTCACAGTGGCAACCAATAGATTAAGGCCAGATTCCTGCTTCTTTCGCCGGTCCAGGCTTCCGGTAAGCCGGTCAAGAAGTACGATCACCAGCACGACAGCTAATACTCCTGTACCAACATAAATACTAAGAAGTCTGATAACAAGCTTGTGATCGTACTCGTCTGTTTTATTTCCGGTCGCTGGCAATGGCTTGCAGAAGTTCACGCCACAGACGTCTCGGGCGTTTTCACGGAAGGTGTCTCCCATTCCCTGTTGAAGGACAAGCGAAGAGATGAGGTTCCCGATGATCTGGCCGCTCTGAAAGATCAGGAAAAATATTCCAAAATAGCGCGTCACGACCGCGTCCTGGGTTTCATGGTTGAGCTCAGCGTAACGGATTCCTGTGGTGGTCAAGTAAGCGCATTTTGAAGACCAAAGAGGTGCTGCACACATTCCTTTAAAAAGAGAATTGAAACGTTTGTTAACGGTAAAAGATAGATGCTAAATTTGCAGCGTGTTGATTCACGACATAGGACTATGTATTGTTTAACGTCCCGATCGGCGATACTTTAAACTCGACATAGAGAAGCTTTCAAAACTACGGTCAGTCCATGTTGGTCCTTGTAAACTGAGTCAAAAATCAAGATTGCAAAAGAACAATCCATTTACCGATTATAAAAGAGGCAGGAATCAAAGTCCACCATCGCGCGTAATAGTTAGCCACTGTATACAGCACGTAACCTGTCATTGAGAACACCAACGTCCACTTACAGCCGAGTCTTCCAATCGCGAAGGGAGGGACTAAAATACAGGACAGTATCAAGGCGGCGTATATGACGCATAGCGACCAGAAACCCAGTCCTTCAACCTTGTTCAAACTGCTCTGCAAATTCTGAAGTGACTGAAAGGCGGTAAAGAGGAACAAAAACCCGAGACTGATGATGTAAACATTCTTGGTGATCTTTCGTTTCTCTCTCTTTCGTTGCTCAGGCGTCAGATGCTCTTCATTGTGGTTGGCTGCGATTAAATCAGTCTCTTTCTCCATTGTCTCGCTCCCTAGTAATATGCGACAAAACAGAATGAATGAAGTAAATGATTTGAGCCCACAGGCAACAGCCGTTCGTGCTGTGTTAACGTCCAGGTAAGGACATCATTTTGGTGTAAGAATAATGAGAAAACAGAAGAAAAGGAAAGAAAAGAAGGAAAGAAAAGACAAGAATAGAGGAGAAAAGAAAAGGGAAGGAAAATGAGAGTTGACCGATGAAGATTGAGTTCTGAAAAAACCTTGCTGTGCGTTCACCTACTCAAACGCTTTCGACGTAAAGCAAAGATTTGAAAATTACGCATAAACAATTTGGAGTCAAACTTAGATTTTGATCAGTTACTTAGAAAATGAATTCACTCAGCGATCAAAATTCTGCTTGTCAGACAATGTGTCTAAAATAGTGCAAACACTGGCTCACAATAATTACTTACGGACACGTAGACACACCACTCATAATAGTGCAACTGATACGCAAACTCCCCCAGGATAAGTGCTTTGGTTTATTTTTATAAGTTTATTACTACCAATGTTACTCTACTAGTAATCAGCGTAACTACTGATCAATTTGAAGCTATCCGCCTCCTCGGTTTGATGGATTGTATCTTTGCATAATGATAAAAGCTGATTGGTAACAATTGCGCAACAGACACTGAGCACCTGATTTTCTTCCTTATCTCTGCTATAAGCTCACCGCGCTTGAAATTCGAACCAATTGTGCGACAAAGATCGACGGAAAGAATGCTTTTGTGTAAAATAACAATAAAACTTTCCAAGTACGAATGCAAAACAGGGAATCTTGCTGAGTGGATATTATTTAGGCTGTGTAAACCTTCTGAATGTTACAAAGGCTAGCGACAGTGGCTAAAATGTGAAACTCAAATCGGAAAGTCTCATGTTCGACAAAGTTGAAGCTAAAGCATCCTACACAGCCGGACAGATTGATGAACTTTTCTCGGGAAAACAGTTTTAATGGATTTATCTATCGGTAAATCAACCATTGATATTAGCAGAGTGAAATATTAACCTCAACTCGCTAACAAAATACGAGCGATGATCGGGCGACGAAGAGCAATTGTTTATTTTTTTTGCCTCATTACTATATCGTGCCCACAATTCGCTGTTCCGTGTTCGAGCGTAGGCTAGCTCGCAGCGAAGATCCCCTTAATGGCTCACACGCAATAAAATAGTATGAACGAACGTCACGAGATCCCAACTGCAGTGTTTGTTATCAGTCTGAGCTGACCATATTAGCCATTTTGCAGACGGTTTGCAGAGTCCGCTTAGCGAAGATTGAGGTTCGATTTAATAAAAAACCTAAACTGAAGCTTACTGTAAATTTGACTTCTGTTTAAAGACTAATTAATTTTTTTTTTAATTCTAAAAGAATTTTGCAAATTCAAAAAAGCTTCAAAATTCACCTGAAATAAATCAAAGCCATTTGACTCTTGTAATATCGAGTTCCATGAATGTGGATCGCCACGCGCGGCTGAGTTATTCCCAGAGGTTTCCTATGCGGGATCTCTTGTTTCCTTACTCATAGAGTAGGTAAATCAAGCGAAGATTCAGCGGAAAAAGAGACTACACTATTCACAATCCCAAAAAATTATTAGATACAAAGCTATCCACAATCCAAGGTCACGATATTGAAGCGATCTGCATGGTACGATGGTTATGCGGTTTGTTCTGCTTGTTTACACCCTTGCCCGAACGGAATTACAAAAAACTTTGTAGTTCACGTACCCGTTACAGGAGAAGAAAACGACTCCAAGCTACAGCTGCACAAAAACTCACAAATCGGTTTCCTTCCGCTGATCCAACGACCCTTGCCTTTCAAATAGGACACGGCTCCAGGCCCAGAAATATGAGCCTCTCCGACAAACAAACAAAGGCTGTGATTGAAGGGTGAAGAGGCGACTGTCAACCGAATTTATAAACTAACTGCGATACTTACGAGCGCTCTCATCGGTCGATGGATGTGCCTAGATGCGGATATGTGAACACGGTTTCTGTCGTTCCAGATTCGCTTGTATATTCGTAAAACATCTCACAGATGCAATAGCAAGAGAGCGTCTTGCGTCTGGGTTAGCTGTTGTACATTCTCCTAACCTCCGTGTGCTCAGAACGGATTAGGTTACATATAGACTGATTACGTCCCTAACTGATCAGTTCGAGAACACCCGTTCTATTTCCTTGCTGCAAATTACCTATTACCTTGCAGCAAAATGGAGGCAATTTTGGACCGCCTTCTCTTGGCCATGAGCTTCCCTATACGCCTCTTTTTAAATTTAGAGTTTGGATGATTTTAGATGTTCACTTCATTTGTAGGATTTCACTTAAGTCGTGGCCTTTTCAAACTTATCAAAGCAGTTTCTTTGAAACCGTTCCCAGTTTAGTGCCACTATGATTAAAATATTCATTGAAAAACCGGCTTAAAAAAAACACACCCTTTAGGATGGCAAACACCTACATAGCTTATACCGTGAATTGCACCCCACAACCCGCTTCCTCGGGTAAAGTCTTGCCAAAAAACAAAATAATCCGTTATGGAAGAAGGTTAATATATTAAGAAAACAGTGACACTCTGAAAGTGTTCGGCCGGTAAGAGCTGTTGTTAGAGGCTTTTGTGTGATAAGTTTTGTCATGATCCCCCTACTGACCTTGTTTAATTATTCCGTAATTTTGAAAATGATTATTAATGAGTTGTCTTTCCCACCCATCTTTCATTTCAGGTCTTTTATTGTTTACCTTCCGACCGCAATACGAAGATAAGCGTCACTGAGCATTGCAACTGATCAGTCTGACCTGTATGGTCTGGAGATCGCAGTGGAAAACAAGGCGTGCTGAGTAAGACGAAGGTAATGTAAATTATTTATTCTTCAGTTATGATAAACCGGGTTAAACTCGTTAGAAAACTTTGGAGAACGTTGGAGGTTCCTTGAACGTCGTCGTTTTGGTTCTCAGTGCTCGACCTTAAGATGGCTTCTTCTCTGTGAATTACTAGGTCTCGCCAGTTTCCTGTTCTTTAGTGTTCACAGACTAAACACAAATGAAGTCATCGATCGCAAAAAGTAAAATTCCCTCACAGCCCCATACTATTGTAAAACAAATCTGTTTTCCTAATAGCAATGTATTGTGTTTGTCATTGTTTTCTCTATCCAAGAACTGAACGCATAATGTAGGATGGGGCTATGCCAAAATTTTAACTCGTAAAATGCGAGATAAGCTCCTTTGCTTATTTTTCTCTGTCGCGATCAGCTAAAACGGATTTTTTTCTTTATCAGTCTTTTCTGTTTTACTTCGACTAACCCAGGGGCTAGATGTTCTGAAATTTTTCTAACTCAGACACATGCTGTTCTAGTTTGGGCCGTATCGCAATTTCGTGCTTTGCCTATGCACAACATCCTGCAAGTATCATATATCCACCGTTACTTCAAAATACCGTCATAACATTTTCCTGAATATTCCACAATTTTTAATATTTGAATTTGAGCGTATCCTTCGGAAAGAGTCTTTGTTAAGTGTAAGATTCTTTCTAGAAAGGTCTTCTTGCAAATCCATGCGCGGAGTTGTGAAGTTCCAATTATCGTGGCATTACTCAGAACAGACAGAGGATCAGATATAACGCGAGCTATTCTCATGTAAAGAAGTACCTTAAGGAATACAGTGATTATCAGCTAGCATTATTTTCCTTTGTCACGTACTGATTGGTGATTTTTTATGCGCATCTGTGGGTTGAATTAGAATTCAAATTTGATAGTTTAATTTTTATTTGTGCCTGGTTCCTTGCATTTTTCATGTGACCTGTAATTGCCCTCAAGTGGAATTCACAAACATTTTTGAAAACTAATCCTCTTTCAAGGACGTGTTTGGGGCCGAAGAGGATGATTTGCAACACGACGCATTAGAAATGTATCAAGACGTCGTTTACTCCCGTATTGTTTACATTACGAACTCTTTTATTCAAAATTTGCATTTGAACAACTGCTATTTGTCTTGAGCTTATGCAATAGGTATTACATAAGTTTGATGTTCACTTTGTAGCTGCACGGAGTCGAGGAAGCTAACTTGTTTGGGTGTGCTGTGGAAAGAAAGTTGAGCAAAGTATCAGGTATCAGTTTATGTTCTATGTTCTATTTTTCGGTATTTTACAGTCGTTTGGGACTGTTATTAAGACGCGCCCTCTCAATTCATTTGCGCTTCGCTCACACATTTTAGTCACTGAGTGTAGCGACCAAAAAAATCATCCGCTTCGCTTGCATGTCGCGTGAGTTTGTTCAAATTGTCCAACTGGCGTGACAGCTATTTATTTTCTTTCCGTTATCATTATTATTTTTTTAAATCCCGCCACACTCCAAGTCTGAAAAGTCGGAAAGGGTGCTCTTATTCTATCCTGTGTAGTAAAGATGGCTGGTAGGAGTCCAAATTCTCGAATGGAAAATATTTGTAGTTTGCGAATTGATGTCTATTGCCTTTAAAGAACTTAAGTTGCAGTCGCTCGTCAACTTAAGAGCAGTTTATAAAAGAAAAAAAAGTCCCAACAGGTTGTTTTCCTTCATAGATGCCGCTGGGCATTTGCATTTGAATAACTGCCATTTGGCTAGAGCTTATGAAATAGGTCTTACATAAGTTTGATGTTCACTTTGTAGCTGCACGGAGTTGGGGAAGCTAGCCTGTTTGGGTGTGCGGTGGAAAGAAAGTTGAGCAAAGTATCAGGTATCAATTTATGTTCTATGATCTATTTTTCGGTATTTTACAGTCGTTTGGGACCGTTATAAAGGCTCGCCCTCTCAATTCATTTGCGCTTCGCTCTCACATTTAAGTCACTACGTGTAGCGACCTAAAAAAACATCCGCTTCGCTTGCATGCCGCGTGAGTTTGTTCAAATTGTCCAACTGGCGCGACAGCTATTTATTTTCTTTTCGTTATTTTTATTATTATTATTATTATTTTAAATCACGCCACACTCCAGGTTTGAAAAGTCGGAAAGGGTGCTCTTATTCTATCCTGAGTAAGAAAGATGGCTGGTAGAAGTCTAGATTCTTGGATGGAAAATATTTGTAGTTTGCGAAGTGATATTTATTTCCTTTGAAGAAGTTAAGTTGTCAGTCGCTGTCAACTTATTTTAAAACCTCAGTTTTACAAGAAGAGCAGTTTTAATAGAAAAAAACCTCTCAACAGGTTATTTACCTTCATAGATGCCGCTAGGCATTTGAAGCACTCGGTATCGGAATGAAATCTTTCGAAATCTAAAACTTTATCCAAACCAGGTTATTAAAAGATAACCTTTCGCAAATATTTAGCTCGGTAGCTTTATTCGTCTTGCAATGCGACCCATTATTGAAATTTTCACGAACTTTAGCTTGGCGTGATCATATTAAAAAAGATGTGTGCCTCATTATTTATACATTCTACTCCCTGCATTCTTTGGCTTTTCACACGTTTTTAATTTACATTTGTATTGGAAAAAAATAGGTGGGGTTAAAATTAATAAAAAATGCCTCCGGAAAGAAATTGGTTGATGTTTAACCATAAATCTGCATATTATGGTATGCAAACTATATGCCACATTAGGTTGTGAGTTAGTCTATGTGCACACACAATTTTATGAAGATAAATTAAATCGCTGGAGTTTAATGTGCTTTACAATCTTCCACAAATATGTGCTCAAAATGTAGCCAGACTCCCTCCAAGCCTTACGCCAGGAGCCCCATTACTATTAATTACTATTAAGTAATTAATTCCTGCTTACGCTAAATATTTCTTCTCGTCCCTGATGATTCCATTGATTGGCAAAAGCTTCATTTTTTAAAAAGATTTTATTATCAATGTTACAGCTGTTTAAGGCCTTATTTAATCTTTTGTCAGTTTAATTATCTAAAATGCCACCGACGAACAACAGTCAACGAACATCCTTTAATATAAGCTTTCGCAAAGACCTCTCCCTTTTTTTTAATGAGATGGAGGAATTGCAAATATGTTATCTTATTACTTATAGCTGAGGAACAAATATAATTTTGTTTGGTTGCAAATACTGGACCATGGCTAATTTCACTTAGAATAGACTGCTCTAATTTCATCTCGAATATTACTATGGATATCAAAATGTTTTATGTTTAACATTTTCAAATGTTTTAAAATCAAGTTGTTCCTTTGTTACGGTGATTGGTTCCTTGAAGATTTTATGTTCATGTTTTGACTCTCTGGTAAGAGAGTCAAAACATATTGACAGCGGACTGTTTCTGTGACAAAATCGTTGAAAAGCATTCTTTGGTTAAGAAAAAAATCTTCTAAAGTTTTCGGGGCAAAGTTTCCGCACAGCCCCATACTTCATTATGCATACAGTCCTTTGTTAGAAGAAAACAATAGCGCAAACAATAGATTACCTTTGTGACTATACGAGGTCGAAAATGTTTGAATCGTGAGTAGTGAAAAATTGGCTGCATATTTGAATCACGAACAATGAAAAATTGTCTAAAGCATGCATCTTATTCAGTAATTCTATTCAGCGACTCTTTACTTTGAAAGATAACTTTTTTTAATTTTACCGTGTAATTTGCTTGTCTGCATTAAAGTATTCTTGAGAAGGACTGTTGTTAACAGTAGTAACTGACGTTTCAACAACCTAACGGAAGTCACTTATCAGCGGAAGTGACTTTGATGAAAACTTCGCTTGACTCTGGTGATGACTTCCGCTCACGTCGTCGAAGCATCACTTGAGTTCTACAGACAACAATACTTCTCAGGACCACTGTAGGAACTAGGATTTACATTTCTATTTATTGCCAAGCAACTGCGAAATGATTTTATATTATTTTCTTTCAATTGTACCACAATTTTGAAGTTTTGTTTCTATTC